AAAATAGTATTTAATTAAGTAAAATTACGAACGTTATAAATAACCGTACTAAATATAACGCTAAAATCCGGTAATTTGATAATAGCTTTAAAATTATACTCTATAAAACCAACCCTATAAAAACGCTCTATATTATAAAAAAAAAGAAATTATATAAGAGGTCTATAGACCCTAGTAGAAAAAGAAGCTATTATACTAGATCTAGCTACTTATATAGGCTAGTATTAGGAGGTTTTATATATATTAAAGTAGGTAAAGTTAGTCGTTTAGGCGTAGGGGCGGCGGAAGGTCGGGCGGAAGTTAGTAGTTAGGAATATAGTATAATATACCTAGTTTTCCCGTTATATAATATATCGTATATATTAATGCCCCGGCGGATGCCTCCGCCGAAGGGATATATATTATATAGTTATATTATATATTACATTATATAATTTCCTTTAAATGCTAATTCCGTTAAGATTAATCTTTTATGTCTATAAAGCTAAAAAGAAAACCACTATATATAATTAGTTATTATATTTTAAGTTAAGAATAATAATATTATTAATCTTAAAACTACTAATAATAACAATAAATATTCTATAAAATATCGCCGTTTTGCCTCCCTTATTTAAGGTCTTATTATTAACTTAAATATAATAATTATTATATTATTTATCTTTAGCTCCTCGGCAATTAGCCCCCTAAAAATACTTTTTATTAGAATTACTATTAACTAGCTATTTACTAATTTAAATATAACGACCCCTATATTATTTATTTTTAACTTTTTAATAACTAATCTTTTATAAATAACTTCTAATAATATTACTATTTATACCTTAGCTATTATAAGTAGTACGGGCTTAATTAGCTAACCGGCCTTCTTTAAATAAAGTTAATTATAATAAAACAGGCTATATTATATTCTTTAACGTATTATAGAGGGATATAATAATTTTAAGGTTAAGGATCTAGCAGTATAGATCTAATAAAAACATTTTTTAAAGACGCTACCGAGGGTATACCTCCTATTTATTAAAAATAATTAAATTTAATATTTTAAAATAGATCTTATAATAGTATAGGATACCTAGCTTAATTAAAATAGTATAGTCTAAACTATAATTTTTAAGGGGGGCTAAAAATAGCCTTTTATTAAACGGTATTACCTTTTTTATAAGCCGGCCTTACGTGCTAATTAAAGTAAGATATTTTAAAGAAAGTATTATTTAAAGTTCGCCTAAATACTTAAAGCGAGTACCTATATACTCCCGGCCTATAAATACCTCGTCCTCTATATAGGCCTAATAAAAATATAGCTCCTAATCGCTAATTATATCCTATATAACGTCAATAAGCCGATATAAGTAATTAAAATTATTTAAAAAATAACCCTTAATATTATTATTATTTAATTTAATACTAAAAGTAAAAATAATAAGCTTCTATATTATAAGGACCCTATAATACGTATAAGGGGGGGGCTCATTAATAGGCTTATTAATATAGGCCTCATCCTTATTATTTAATATAATTATTATTTGTATTAGTAGTTAATATCCTTTATTATTAGACCTACTATTATTGTTATTATAGTTACGGTCCTTAACCTATTTCTATTTAGCCCTAAGTATAATATTAAAGTTAATATAGTAGATATAAAGTTATTATTAAATATCCGGGAATTACTTATTTAGTATAGCCTTTATCTATTTATTATAGTTTATAATAATAATAATAGGGTAACGGATTAAGTATTAGTCTATAAGTTAGCGGATGCTTACTAAAAGAAACTAGAAACCCTCTAGTCTTTTATTATTAATAAGGCCGAACGTAGCATTATAAATAGATCTAAGGTAGGTCTACCTAATAGCCTAAAAGAGAGGGAGCTTAAAGTAATTAGTATTATAGATATTATTAAAATTAATCACCTTAAGGAATTGCTTCTATATTTAGAGATAATAAGGAAAGGTCTAGATAAGGCTAATAAGGTAATTTAGTTCATCGTCTGCCCATTTTATTATATATAAAATATCTTATTTATTAAATAGCCTAATTAACGTTATAATTAGCAAATATCTACCTAGTTTCTTTTAATTTATATAAGCCCTAGTATTATAAATATCTTACTAGGTAAATAAGGACTTTAGAAACTACTTTTAAATAATAATATATATATTACGAACCTAAATCCTAACTCGTTAGCTTATAGTTTTAATAATATCCTAAACTACCTCGGTAAACCTATAATATAAAGGGTATATAGAGGCTTTAAGGCTAGGGCCGTAATTATATTAATTATACTAGGGGTCTAAATAATAACATAATAGCTACTTATCCTCCTCTTAAGCCTCGGCAATAACTTACTATTTATAACCGTATTTATAAAACTTATATTATCGAATATTAGCGCCTTATATAGGCCTAGGCTTACTAAACCGATTATATTAAAAGGTATATTAAATAATTCGGCCTCGAGCTTTATACCTATTCCGCTTTATAATACTAAATCTATTAGCTCTTATAAAATTATTAACTTAATTAAAAAGGGCATTATAGGTTTATTCTAGATTGCTAGGAATTAATAGGTTTAGGATTTAGGTTATAAAAGGAAAAAAAGATCGGTTACTTAAAATATAATAAAAGGCTATAGTTCGGAAAGACATTTCACTTTAAATAAAGGATAGCTATAGGGGTAAATAAGGTAGTAGGTTAACTTAAGGACCCCATATTTCTTATTATTAATAGATATATTCTTATTATCGGAGTAATATCGTTATTAATTATTAATTAGTCCTAATAACCTATTTAATAAATTAGAGGGCATTATTAAACTACTTTATTATAAGATAGGAAGGTTATTAGGACTATTTATTAAGGGGAGAGAGAGAGGGGTTATACTCTAAATAAAATCGTAAGAGGATAGTCCGCTAGGTTTTTATTATTCCCTTAAAGAAATAGCGAATAAAGTATAATATAGGCTTTATATTAAAGTAATCGTTTATAAAAGGTTATATATCTTATAGTATACCAGTTAGGAGCTCGGTAATAAGGTCGTGCTACCCTTTAGGATTATTAACTTTATAAAATTAATTAATATTAAGGTAGCTACTTTTTAAAAAGGGAAATAATAATAGTTAATTAAATAATAATAGAAGGCCGTAATTAATTAATAGTCGCTCTTATAAAGAGAGAGGTTTATTTGTAGGGGTATTATTTTAAAATTAGCCTTATAGAACATTTTTAACTTTAATTAAAAAAGCTATTATAGGTAAATACTATAAGTTAGACTAAGAGGCTTAATAATATAACCTTAACGTAAAGAGAGTAAAGGAATAGAAAAGCTTAAGATACTTAAGATACTTTATAGGCATCTAGTAGAATTCGACTATATTAATAATATTTTTTTAGATTAATTAAAGAGTCGAATAGCGATGCCGGTATAAGGGCGACGCCGGTATATTAATTTGTAATGCCGGTGTATTAATTCCCTTAATTATATCGATATTATTAATATTAAATAGAGCGCTAATATGAGCTAGCGTGAATTTCTCTTTATTAATATATTTAACGAGGTTATTTAGGTTTAGGTTAAAGAGTTAGGACTAGTTATAATACTATATATATATATAAGCGGTATTAATAATAAAATAAAGGTTTTTAGTTAATCTATTTTTAGCAGTATTAATAAAGGCGGTTTTATATATTATAATATAGCCTTTATAAGCTTTAATATCCGTTTTAGTAAAATAAGTGGTGTTTACCGAGATCTTTAAATTATAAAGAATTTAGTTTAAGGGAAGTCTATTTATAAGTTTATTATTAGTTATAAATAAACCGATAATAGTATAGAGAATAGCGATTATATAGGGAATATTAATAATTCCCTCTTCTTTATAGATGAATACGTAAAGGCTAGGGCTTTAGTTAATTATATTAACCGGGCTAGCGTTAAAGAGGCTAGTAAAAAACTATTTAAATATATATTTATAGAACGTATAGTTATTTATAAGGTACGTAATTTAGTCTTAAGATACCGTAATAAAGGCGGGGGTTTTATTAGACTAAATAGTTATAGAAGTAGTACGGGCGGTTATAAACAGGTTATATATAGTAAAATAGATAGACGACGAGCTAAACCGCCTTATTAGCCTTATCTAGACCTTTCTTTATTATTTCTAAATATAGAAACGATTCTTTAAGGTAATTAGCTTTAATAATATTTATAATATTAATCGCTTTAAACTCCCTTTTTTCTAAGCTACTAGGTAGACCTACTTTAGATTTATTTATAGTGCCGCATTCGGCCTTATTAATAACGAGAGATTAAAGGGTTTCCGGTTTCTCTTAGTAAATATCTACTAACTTATAAATTAATATTTAGTCCGTTACCTTATTATTATTATTATAAACTATGATAAGTAGATAAAGGCGATATTAAATAAATAGTTCCCGGACGTTTAGTAATAACTTTATATCTACTATATTAATTCTAATATTATACTTAAGGTTAAATAAAAATAGGTTAAGGACCGTAGCTATAATAATAATAGTAGTAGGTCTAATAACGAGGGATATTAATTATTAATATAAGTAATAGCTATATTAAATAATAAAGATAAGGCCTATATTAATACGCCTATTAATAAGCCCCCCCTTTATACGTATTATAAGGTCCTTATAATATAGAAGTTTATTATTTTTATTAAGATTAAGTATACTTTTGAGAAAGCCTAGATTAAACTCTATAAAAAGTTTAACGATTAATGCCTAATCCTCTAATACCTTTACGTAATATACCTACTTTTAAAAGTATAGTAGGCCCGTTATTCTATCTGAAAATACTAGAACTTTAGTATTTATATTACTACGTACTCGTAAAAGCGAGAAGTCGCTGCTAGTGCCGCCGAATTCGGTGGGAAGTGCCGCCGTTCTATGCGGCACAAGCAGTGAGAGCGAACCGGGCGAGGGGAGGACACTGGCAGGTATTAAATACTTCGTCCCGCTGCCTCCAACGCCCGCAACCTAGTCATGGCAGTGCGCCCCACCCTGCTATCTTTTGTCCAAGCGCCTTCTACCTCCTTCCCTTCTACCCTGCCCGTCGGTTATGCCAACACTTGCTTGTTCTTGCCAACTCCCTCGCTTTCTGGCATCCGTTGGAGCGATTTCTGGCTGCTCAGGCTGTTCAGGTTCTGCTTGACGCAATGGCGCCGCCCACCATAAAGAGCGGCGTCGTGCCTGCCTTCTTTTGTCGTCTTCTCTCGCCTCAGTACACGCTCACGACCTCTCTTCTACCGCCGCGACGAGCGACCATCTCGCAACCATGTCCCAGCCGGTGCTCGCCGATTGTCGCCCTCGACATACAAAAGCAACCGTTGACTTTTTGAAGCGGTTTACCGACCAAGAAACACAACGTCGGATCGCGAACCAGCCGAAGCCGTTCTCGGCTCAGGAGCACGCCGACCTACGCAAGCAGCTAAAGAACGTCAACTTCATCAAGCCGAGATATGCAGACGAAACCGAGATCAATATCGCGGTCGTATGCAGGAAATGGAAACGGTTCGCTGCGAGAATCTCAGGCTTGTTTCCTTATTGACTGACCTCTATAACAATAGTTACTGTCAAGAGCAGAACCTCGGTGAATGGCAAGCGGCCTTGAAAAATGTAACTCGCGTGACAATGATGAGCTTCTTTCTCCGGATCAGCGAGTGGTCGATAGGGAAAATCAAGTCCTGGGGTACGACGCAGGTCTATATCCGGCAGTTTCAGCAGCTATACACCACCGTCGCCGGTCGCTACATGGATAGGAATGACGCGAAAGAGCTGTACAAGGTATTTACCAATTGCGGCAGTCGACAGATTCTACAATGATGCTAATACGGACTGGGCTAGTTCCACCACACGATCCTGATCCCTCGCTTCGGATACCGGGCACCGAACATCAACGGGAAGCCAGTCCTCGGAGCTGATAACCTCCTGGCTATCTTGACATTCAACATTGCGTACGATACCGGTATCTTCCCGTCAGAACGGCAGCGCACTCAGCTGGCTGGTTGCTATCAGCTCCTCTGCTACACTGGTGCGCGGCCTGCCGAGATCGTGCATGCCGAAAGGAAAAGACCCAAAGACGGATGCACGGACGAGATTTTCAAGATCCAAGGCGTCAAGTCCCTTGATCTTGAGTGTGGCAAAGACACAGAGAACGTGGACTATGATGACCAACCATCACAAGACAAAGACTCCCTTCTCCTCGACAGACTGTTGATACAGGAAACAGCTGGGCGGGGGCGTCCGAAAGCCTTGTGCTATGAGGACATACTTATGATGATTGTTCGCCATCCGGTGACGGGACGAGCCGTACCGGCAATGGCTGTTAAGTTCATCCACCACAAAGGAGCTGACAACAAGCCAAGGCCGTGAGTATGCGTAGCACCGCGGCTCCAATCCCTTTCGGAGCTTTTAATGCTGACTATGGACAGGACTGTCTTTTTCTTTACCCCTGCAAGAAGGTTCATCTTCTGTGCCGTCAGCACCATCATCGCCTTAGCGCTCCACGACCAGGCTTTCGACGCAGCAAGCCTGACAGATGCAACCCAGGTACTAAGAGCAGAGGTCAGGGGTCCAGTCCAGTCTACGGCTTTACGGTGGAAGCAGTCAATGCTCAAGGTTCCGATCTTTCGAAAGCTCAACGGCAGTGCGTTGGTCGTCGACGAGGCCATGAGCTATTCCAAATTACGAGACGACATGGGCCGACAGAGCCTCGATGCAGGTTTCGAGAAGGCCTGGACGCCACGGTTCGCCCGAAGAGGAGCGGCGAATGCAGCAAATGGTAGGTCAAAGTGAGCAGTATTCGCCGAGGACTACAAATACTAAGGCCTGCAGGGAATGCGTCTGATGCTGTGCGCGACCAGATGATGCGCCACGATCCCAAGTTTGCCACGTTCCAAGGTGCGTATCTCAACGAGAACGTCGAATTCGACCTCCAGAATACTTTTCTAGAAGAGGAACCCGAGGAGCAGATGTACAAGGTGTTCGCGCACGTCAGCCTCACGCGCGATCCCCGGGCAACGAGAGACATGGTTCCCAAGGAGGTCTGGGATAACTTGCCTCCCGATCCGGAAATCCTGGAGCTGGAGCAACGGCGACAGAAGTTGAAGGGTGGTCAATACCGAGTGCAGGGTGAAGAGAACGAAGCCAAAATCCGCAGGCTAACCGAGGAGATACGCACAAAGCGGGATCAACGCGACAAGAGTGTCGTAAAAGAGTATCGCGAATATCATTTTTACAACCGGCCAACATGGGATATTGAGAGGCAAGCGAACGGCGAAGAAGACGAGGAGTATACTGAACCGGTCATCAACCTCCAGATTCCCGAGCGCACCAGACTGGCCCACATCCTCTGCCACCAACCAGCCGACTGCTCTCACGACAAACTCATGGAGCTTTGGGTTGAGGCTATCGATCTGATGGTGACACTTTGTGACAAGAGAGAGACGGTCAGACGAGACCGCATCCGCACCCATCCTCAACCCAAGCCACCCATCGAAGACACTCCTCGACCCAAGCCCTTTCCACTACTCCTTGATCCGAATCAGTGTCCTGATTGTGTGGGGGATTGCAGGCTTTCACTAGAAGAACGGACGTTCAAGTACTGCCGGCCAACGGTCAGAAATGATCACTTTGACGACCAGCATCTGGTAGAACGAGAGCGTGCCGTCCAACGTGGCGGTCCCATTCGGTGCAACCATCCTCAATGCCAGGATGACCCAAATTTCGCGACACTGGATGCGTTCAGACGGCATGTACAGACCTCCCATGGCGTGTCGCTGAGGACATCAGGCCAGGTCATGCAAAGACGATCAAAGAAGGTAGAGCGTAGACGGATGGCTAAAATGACAGGAGGGCAGGCTTAAATTAGATCACACAGAGTATGTAGTGTTGACGCATGGATATATATACTGAATTGCCCCTTACACATCTGTTCCGTGTCTTCAACGCGATACGATGCTAATTCGTGATCCTAATGTCTGATCCACGTTGAAGGGGCACCAAGGACAGAGCCCCTTTGACAGCAGCACAACAAGCGCCGATTGAGCTGGAGCTATCCGCTGGCGGGCCGCACGCTGGTCGTGTTCAATTTACTAGTAACAGGCGAGAAGCTTTTTGATAGCTCGGGTGGACGCTTTGGCTACGCTGCAGACGGATGTTTGGGATAATGTTACTGGTAGGTGGCACGGATACGGAACACGATGTCCCGTCTGCGGACCCCCGAAGCGCCCAGGCCGGCCATGCTACTATTGGAAGGTTCCACATCCGGGTGCCCTACCAGTAACCCATGCCGAAGCATCCCGTCCATGGGGACCTCGAAGCGGGTGGGCGCTTCTGCGGTCCGGGGCTTTGGTGACTCGGGGTTTGTCACATCCGGACGCCTTGCTAGTGACCTACGCTGAAGCTCGCCGAGACAGAACGCTACCACATCTGGTCCCGTGATAATTACATCAATTGTCATTGTACGTACTTGGTAGCTGAATTCAGACTAGAACACCTGTAGCTTCAACAAACCAGTTGCAGTATTGAGAAAATTGGAAGTGGTCACCGTTCTGGCTATGAAGGCACGTAGCGAGCTTTAGTCGCCCGCTCTTTACAGACTTGCCCGGTGCCGTTTAGCGGACGAACTGACTGGCGGTGGTGTGCGAGATGCGGTCATCTCGCTGGAAACCACGGTTCGTTGGTCTGAAGTTCACGCGAAGCGATACGCCCTCTATGGTGATTGGGCGAACAGCTTTTTGCCATCTCGGCACCTTGGCTCTTGTCTATTCTTAGGAGTAAAGGTTTATGCGCTCCTGCTTCTACCCACAGCATTCCCACAGTGATTAGGAGTTGTTCTAGTACGTGCTCTCGTTGTCCCGTGACGTCCATCCGTCAGAACAGGGCCGATCTGATTGCGAGAGTCGACACTCAAACTCAGGCCAGGTTCGGGAAGCGAAATGACTTCAAATCGGACTTAAGACGGCAACTGACCAATGGAAGATCAAATCCTTGTGAAGTACTTTAGCATACAAAGGTATAGATGCCATCACGAATCGACACTCTGCCCACTTCTCATCGTTAAGCTCAACAAAATCGAGAGCCAGAGATACCACAGCGTAGTGACAGTGAATTCCGGCAAGTCGCTGGTCGTGCGAGATGACGAATGGGGAATGCTGGCAATTGAATTACTCGCACTCGACAAGCAGAAAGAGCCCGACGGTGGACTGCGTGGCAAGTGCTGCGCTCTAGACGTTCTCATGGTTCGCAGTGGAGAGGCTCTGGGGCAAAGGCACAATGATGTCCCGCAGGACCCATTGCGAATACACTTGCTTGGGCACAGTTCCGCGCCCGCACATCAGCTTAGGCACCGTCCTGCGTACGTATGTACTTGGGCGGTATTCTGCCTACTCAAATCGGCTACTCACCTCGGTTACTGTCCTGGACCACTGGTGCCGCCCGAAGGTAAGGGACAGGTTTAGTCAGCTTACCGTGTCTCCATCACGTGACTTTGTGTTTGCGGCGCAATTGTTGTCGGAGCGACCTGGATCAAACGTGACGAAATACATCCAGACAATTCAGGTTGTCGAGACTCAAGGGTTGGTTTCATTGGTTGCTTTGTTCCTGTCACACATATGCCGAGTTGCAATGGAAGATGAAATCGCAAAACTACGAGAACAGCTTCAGGAAGAGCAGCGCCGACGAGAGGAAGAACAACGCCGACGAGAGGAGGCTGAAGAACTCACGAAGGCGTCACAACCACAGACACTTCGAAAGTATCTAGCATCTTGTCACTCACTCAGCCTCGCCATTCAGGTGGTGACCGACCGTACCTTGACTACGCAAGGTGATACGACGAACCCGACCGGCCGAATTTTCCCTCGACGAATCGTTCCATGGGATGACTTCGCGGCGAGTCAAGAGGAGATATGGGATCAACTCTCGAATTCCCGCTCATTCGCTTCGAGACCTGTGTTCCCATCGCCACATCAATTGGACTACGTCATGTCTCTGATCAGCCCGATCAGCAGCGAGACTGGTCTCCGGAACTTTCAGCGCGATACTGTCGAGAACGCGGTTCAGAAGCTCGTCGGTGAGGCGTATAGCAACACGCGACTCCGAAGTGATATCGGCTTACAAGGGACCGTGACTTTCGAGAGTCACACCAATCTCGGACAGACAGACGAAGCCCTTTCTGAAGCTCTCGATCATATGTCTATCGAAAGGGATGACCCCGATGCCGCGGCAACAGCCTCGAGACTACCGAGCCGCAAGCCCCGACGCAGAGCTAGAGGCAAGGGCAACCGGGCAGATCAGTTCTGCATTTACCGCACCTCCGACGGCCGAAACATCCCGGCCGTGGCGATCGAGTACAAGGCACCGCATAAGTTGCGACGCGACGAGGTCGTCACCGGTCTGGAGTCGGAGATTAGACCGGAACGCGACGTAATAAATAAGGACGGCGAGGGGTTTGCGTTTGCATCGAGATCGCTCGTTGCCGCTGTTGTGACCCAGCTCTTCTCGTACATGATCGGCAAAGGCATCCAGTATGGATATGTGTGCACAGGAGAGGCATTCGTCTTCCTACACATTCCGAATGATCCTACCATCGTATACTATTCTGTGCGTGTGCCGAACCTGGACGTTCTTGATGATGACGACGAGAACAGGCTCCATGGCACAGCTGTTGCGCAGGTCTTTGCCTTTATTCTTCAGGCTCTGCGCGCCGAACCGCCTCCAATGTCATGGCACGATACTGCCGCGGATCTCGACACCTGGGCTGTAGAGTACGACGACGTGCTAAGAAACATTCCCGAAACAGTACGTAAGGGCAAGGAAGCGCGCGCCTCTCCGTACAAGCCCCAACGCTGGCGAGGGTTCAAGCGCTCGCCGATTGGGACACGGTCTCGGTGCAAGCGATTCGACAGCAACGCGAAGCAGCGAGAAGATAGCGGTGACGATGAAGAAGGGATTCCTCCTTCACCCACGCCGACAAGATCGATTCTCGGTGGCGAAAAGGTTCTCACGAAGTCGAGTGCGGGCTCGGCCGGTAGACAGATACAGGAAAACCGCCATTATAGCCAAGGGAAGCAGATGAACATAAAGGATCGTCAGTTCTGTACGCCGCAATGTCTGCTCGGATTAGCGAACGGCTGGCCCCCGGATGAATGCTGCCCAAATTTCCAGGATCACGGACATCAGCACTTAAACCGACTGGATTTCCTCCGACTCATTCGTACTCAACTAGCCGAAGACCGTGGTTGTGATTCTGACATCATACCACTTCACCTGTCCGGCTCCATCGGCACACTCTTTAAGGTCAGGATGTCCTCCCATGGCTACACTCTTGTCGCCAAAGGCGTTGAGACACTCGACCTGGCCCGACTTCGCCGTGAGAACAAGATGTACGATAAACTCCGCTTGATTCAGGGAAAATATGTTCCCGTTTGCTTGGGGCGGACTGATTTAACCCTGCCGTTGTACTACGACAGTGGCGTATACAAGCATGTCTTGTTTCTCAGTTGGGCCGGAAAACCTCTGTTTGACTCTACCAATCAAGCAACCAACGCAGATATTGACGCAGTTACCCGGGCGTATAAGAACCTACATCAATTAGGTGTTCTTCATGGCGACGCAAAATTACGCAATGTCTTACGCAATGAAAGTATAGCAGGTCAAAGTATTGTGGTGGTGGACTTTGAGCGGGCGCAATTCAGTCGCCGCTTACCTCTCGGTTTGCTCAGTTCGGACCGTCAAAACAAGAAGAGGAAGCGGGGGATATTGGGGAAATCAACTGCATCAGACAGCCAAGGGTGCGAAAGATTTGCGAAAGAGCTAGACTCCGTGGTGTGTCACATGTTGAGATATGTGGACGCCAGACAGCGGGAGATAGCCGTCAATGTGGCCAGGAAGGTGTAAGATTTTTTGCTTGAGGATTCCAAAGAACCGTTCTAGGTTCTTGTTAGCTTCCATGTCTGTGAATGCCGGGAATGGTAATGAGAAGACAGCTCACGAAGCGTCTAATCTTGGCAAACCGTTGCAAATGCAACCCTCTCACCGGCTGCAAACATGCACATGCAAACGCAACTACCTCATTCTACCAGGGGGTTGCACTTGCATTGGTGTGTTGGTTGATATACAATCAGCCAATAGCCTTTGTCCTATTGTATTCGGCGTTATCATGCGAACGCCATAGAGATTCCGGGCAGGCTCTCCACCGGTACCGGCATCGATACCGGGGAGGTTCCCAATCCTCGAACCATATTCTGCGACTTGAAGACGGGATTCAACTGGCCGGCCATGTGGCTTTTCTGCCTCAAAGGTCCGAAGGATTTGCGGAGATTGCGGCAGTTTGCATTGAGGAGCAGCCAAACCATCAAGGACTTATCATACGACTTGCTCGTAACGAGCTACAGCGAACAGAGGAAGTCGAAAGTATACGGGGTCTACTTCGGGTTCTGGAGGACTGCGCAAGTGAAGGAATGTTGGCTGTTCTGCGTGAGGTTCGACAGTAGCTAAGTAATCAAGGCCTCAAAAGAAGCACTGTACAAGATCGACTCTCCGATGAAGCACTAGCAATCAGTGAGAATCGGATTCTGCAGAGATGGATGCCGTCCTAATACCCTGCACCATCTCACTGGAGCGTGAAGCATAGACAGAAGAGGACATCGCTACGTAGCAATCCCTGGGCTATCCAGTCCCGTCTACCCTCACGGCCTTCAACCCCTGAGGCCTACATGATATGCAACGCGCATGTAAGAGTTCTCTCGGAAATCCGCCAAAGCGGTCATCGCAATCATTTCGCATTGTCCGAACGTGCACTACCAGGGACGGGAAAAGGGCTCTGTCAACTTTGACGGGCACTCAATTTTCCCCGCTCCAAATTGATTCTGCCACTCCCAAAGCAGTTCGACCCCACTTATGTTTCTGCCGTCCTCGCGGATCTGATTCCCCATTCAGCGTTTCTGCCATACCCAGTCTGATTCTGCTATCTGCATGGGTTACTACACCTATCAGCGAGCTTCGATGCATTCTGCCGCCCCGGTTTTATTCTGCCAGCTCGAACTCTGCTTCTGCTGTTCCTTCTTAGGATTCTGCCGCCCCGGTTTTATTCTGCCAGCTCGAACTCTGCTTCTGCCGTTCCTTCTTAGGATTCTGCCGCGTGTTTCTGCCGGCCGTCTAGATCTATCCGCCTTCCCAATTCCGGATTCTGCCCCCCTGACATTGATTTTCTGCCGCTCCCAGCCGTGCTTTTCTGCCCGCCCGCCTTCCAACCGTTTGAGGAGACGTTTCTCTGTTTAGATCGTTTGTCATATATCCGTGATCCTCATTTCGACCGATTCGGCCAAACGCAGGCTCTGTTCTTCTTCACAACATTGTCTCAGTGGCTCATTGGGCTCCATTCGCGTCCCTCATGCCAATTGACTACTATGGTATCAGGCCAAAGTAAAAACCCCTGTCAAGTATCTGTGGCGCATTTGGTCGATTATCTAAGCAGAGGTACTCCGACCTGAACAAGGTGGGCTTCAGCCAGTCGAGTTGCCCAGGCCAGTGGGTCACTGCCCGCAAATGCATGGCCAGGAGTTCAACTTACACATACAACCATCGTAAGTCCCAGACGGAGCCCTCTGCTAATTCCGTCATGATCACGACAACGGACCACATCTAGCATGAAGTCTACTTGGCCTTGGACTGAACATCTGTGTCAAGGCACGATGTAGCGTTTACGGTGCTTTGCTTACTGATCACTGGTGTCTCAATTTGCTCGTGTCTACTCCACCCGCATCTGCGTATGGAGTATACCGACCTTGACAAATGCTTTTTCATGTACCGTGATGAGGCTTTGGCGAGAACGCATCTACCGAACGACGATAGAACCTAAAGGCATCTGAATTAGGGACTAGATACCAATAGAGCGGAAGGACGTGCTCTTCCAAGGCGCTTTGCATGCTTAAGCCTGCTTTACCCAGCATTAAAATCCATTAGAAATGACGCTGGTGGCATACCGTACGTTCGCCCCTCAATGTGCTGCAGGGTGCCGCAGGGGGCCGGCCCCACGGGCCCCAGTTTCAAAGCCAGATGACGCTAGCAATCTGAGTACCGACTCTTGGCATCCAAAGCAGCAACGCCTAAATCTGGGCGGCGACCGTTCGTTTCACGCTGCCATCCTCAGATCTTTCACATACGACGTCCATCCTCACCACACCTGGTTCACAACTCTAGCTGCATCGTTATTGCGCACGGTGTACTTTTCACCCAGCAGACCACAGTCTTTTCTGCCCACAGATCCGGGTTACCATCAGATGGATAAGAACGAACACCCACGGAAAGGAGAGGCGGGGAAATACCACCCGGGTCCCACTTGCCCCGGGCGTGACGCGTGGATGTGGGAGACCGTGATGGACAGCCGGGTGATTCACTGTGTCAAGCATCCTGTGGAGCCATCGGACTCCATGGTATCCAGCGCAACAGGTTACGAGCTGGTTTGTAGCTATAATTGGAAAGCTAGCCAGGATCTGAAGATTCATATACCCGATGAGCCTTAAGTACCTAGGGACAATACTACATAATTAACTATCAATAGGCTTTATAGCGATCTTGCGGGAGGTTTCCTTACCAATCACGGTACCTCAAGCCTAGGCTACGCACTCGATAAATAACAATACGGCATATATTCCTAAATACTCTTTTAAACCGCTATTTCGCATTACAGTATTAATAAACCCGTTATTCCGCTTTAACAAAGTTAACATCTTAATAAATTAAAATAATCTTAAAAAGCTTCTTAATTTCTATTAAAGGTAGCGACAAAATAGCTTTCAAATCAATCTATACCTTATTTACCACATACTAATTATCAAGCATTATAAAAAGACCGTTAATAAGCGAATCAACGGTTTACAGAATTCTAAGTAGGGCAGGAATTTCGAGCATACCCTTACTTAATACCCGCCTAGGCTAAAAGACAGTATAGTATATCACTAGGCTCTTTAATACTAGCTAAAAGATCTTACGTATGTCGTGCGTTTTGAGGTAGATGCATACTACTAGCGAAAGGTCGAGGAGGGCGGTACTTTACAATCGTTGGCATGCGCAATGAGTCGATTACAGACCGATAATAGCCAAGGAAGAAATGCTTCTGCCAGCCAACAACTAACATAAAAAGTACCGATGGCCCAAGCAAATACTACAGAAATCAAGATAGCAGCCAGGCGCAAAAGCTCGGGGACATACATACCGCAACTTTAGTTCGGCAGAACGCCCTAACTTATCCTCAGACAGCACACAAACAGAACCTTTAAAAAACTAAATATCACCAACATAGCAGCTCAGTTCGCAAGTTAGGAGGAAACACACCAACTCGACCTTCACAAATTAGCTGCGGTCTTAGTACAACTATACAAGGCTATCTAAGAGAACTAAGGCAAGTTTTGCATTACGATCTATGAGAAAGCCATAAAGACGTCAAATATTAAAGTGTACCCTTCATATGTTGCGAAAGAGGCTGTTCCGGAAAAGCTAAAGGGCGAGCTCTGGAGTTGACAGGGAGCGCTTTGAAACACAGCGGTTCACTTGCACCTTCAGGAATTTAAAGCCATCTACCTGCATTCTAAGAAGTGATGTCGAGCCTTGCCAGTACTCGCCCAAAGCTTCACGCTTGTATTCCGGCTGTCTGCGGGAGGGGGCGTTTCGTACCGTAAAGTTGTGCTGGGTTGCTCATGCTATGGGGATGGCGGCACTCATGCCTCTCACCTGGTACGCCGAGAGCAATCAAACTAGAGGCCAAGTATTGAGCAGCTGCCGTACGAAAGTCGGCATGCTTGACGTAGGCTTCCACCTCTGCAGAAGGCTCCGCTAAATGAAAGGAAAGCGTCTCGGACTCGCGCCAGTCAAGCCTCACAAACACGATCGCCTCACCCGTCGTCAATAGACCGTGCTCAAGCAAGCCTTCGATCATTAGTGACAGGTCTGCGTGTGATGGCGGCTGCGGTGAGCCTCTCCTCGTGATACTGAAACCGCGCGTCTGGGTCAATTGATGTTGATATTGTCTTCCGGTCTACCACTTCCTCGTGTGTATTCATCGAGCACAGGTGCTGCGCAGGAAGTTGACGCAGTGATTTATACTCGGGAATATAGAGCATCGACGAGCTGCTCGAGTCGTCATCGTCTTCGGTTCGGCAGACGCAGATCTAACGGTCCGTAACTGTTGGAGATTGACTTGCTATTGTGCGTTGTGGAGGGAGGTGTCGATGGGATTCGCGTTCGACGACCTCCGCCGCTGCGTCGCTGAGCGCATGCGGGTGGTTCTCATAGAAAAGTCCGTTGACTAAATCGAACGCACTTTGGACTTATTTTGCCTTCTTGAGCTCATCCATGATTAACGGGGCCCTCGACGCTATATTTCAGAAAGCACTCGACGGCCTTCTCGTCAGTGGTCTTACGCTTCGCGATCCTGCTTTCTCGGCCGGACAGGAACGATGTGCTCTGGAAACAGCGTCGGTCGGCAAGGGAGTGTAGTAGGGGGTGCCGAAGGCGATGCTCTGTTGGTGCGAAGTCGAGCTATAGGCGGAGATTGGTGGGGCACAACCTGTTTCGCGGAATTGTGATGGAGCCCTTGGAGGTCGGTCTACGGTCTGTTTCGACGGTGAGTTTGACAGAAGCCAGGGAATGACAGGCAGGTATGTATTCGTTGAGTGAAGTAGGCTGGGTTTGTTGCTCTGCCGCCACGGCGCGTTCTTGTTCTCCGTCAGCACGTTCTTCTGCAGAAACTTGGCCAACTCCTCGGCATTTCTTGTACGGCTCATGATGTCTTTGATTGATGTGGTTGGTAAGGTGTGCATTCAGTCTCTCGAAGGGTGGACAGTGGTAGTAAAGTGTTTAGGCCAGCCTGTAGCGCAGAACGGATCTTGCTGTGTCGCTGAGCAATCCCCAGCATCCTTGTCAGCTGGTGATCCCCGTCGTCGATGGCGTCCTTTCCACGAACTAAACCCCCAAAAAGAGGCGTCGTTGCACCGTAACTCACGTGCGCTCTGTACATACATTGCGTGCAGAGATAAAGCTGTTTACGCACGAGTACGGTGGGCGATAGGGGGCACTGTTGCAAAACCCCCTTGCCATTTCGTTTTGGGCTTAGATCATGTTACTCTTAGTCATCCGGTACATGGAAACGCAATGTTTGATGTACTGCGGGCTAGCAGCGGGATCGCACGGGATGGATTGCAATTTCCATGTCATACACCTCAGCTGTGAAATGATGGGTTAGGTAGGTGCTATTACCACATGAATGCTAGCCATCAAATGATCAGAGCACGCCCCTAACAGTATAGACCACAACTAAGTCTCCCCTTCTTTGTTTTTTCTCTCCCACACAACAGTACAAATAAACACTTCATCATAGTGTTCTCGAGAGATATGGTCCGAATCATCAGCGCACGGTGAGGCGTGGCTTGGTGAGTGGCCTGCCGCAGTAAAACGCTACGGATCCGCAGCGAATTCGCAACGCCGCAATCAAGACGGGTGGCCTGTTGACTTAATCCGCCACGGGCAAGCCTACAGCGAAGATCACCGTATGTTCAGGAGATCAACTTTCGAACTCAGGACTGTTGACCTGCCATCCGACAGAAGAAAAACAAGTCGGAAAAAACTCCGCCTCGTGACTCACCACGCAATTTCCCGTGCCAGAAATACTTCACACGCGCCACCAAGGCCCCCGGCCATGAGTATGCCTCTCAAAATACAATGTAGACTCTGTCTGGCCATGCGCGAAGGTTGTCACGATGGTTTTAATGGCGAAAACACGGGTGCTGCATGCCGGGACTGCGCAAAGACCGGCCACGCATGCCTATCCAAAGCCCAGCACTCGTGGCAGAATCCGGGCTTTCAGCCCGGATCCACTGATCGGGTCTAGCCTGTCACATCTCCTACTATGTCACCTCCAGTGGCCTCTCCGGCTTCTTTCGGTGAAATTGCTGAGCAGAGCCTTGAGGAGAGAAGAACGATAGCTTTGGAAATCATCTCCTTGGCTGTTCGGCTCTGCGCGGTAAGTCTGGACAGTTTAGCAATGCGAATGGACACTGTCCGAGCAAAGGACCACGTCAAAGTATTGGGGGTGACGATGGACACGAAACTTCGTTTCGAAAAGCACATCGCAGACGCGACGACAAAAGGGCTGGAGGCCGTGCTGGGACTCAGGCGGCTCAAAGGCCTGTCACCGGCGACGGCCAGGCAGCTTTTCGTCGCGGCCGTAGCACCGACGATGGACTACGCGTCGAACGTCTGGAGATACAGATGTCGAGCAGCGCAGATGAAGGTGATCGACCAAGTGCAGAGGATTGGCGCCCAAGCGATCGTGGGAACCTTCAACACAGTGGCCACGGCGGTCGCTGAAGCGGAGGCAAGCATACAATCGGCGCAAGAGAGATACGACAGAAAATCAACGACGTTCTGGGTGCGGATGCGAAGCCTTCCCAAGCCCCATCCGCTTCGACGTCTGCGGGCGGTGGCCTTAAGACGATTTCCATCACCCTTCCAGTTGATGGTGACGGCCTCGTGTACGTTCGGTCAGAGAACGGAGCAGAACCCGTACGTAGCAGAGCTAGCGGCACTGACTGTAGCGGTCAAGTCTCTTACTGAAAGACTCAAGTACCGGGCTATCCACGTATTTACCCGCACCAAAGCGGCAGTGTCGGTGATGCGCAGCCCGCGGCAGGAATCAGGCCAACGAGAGATTCGAAAACTATACGACTGCATGCAAGCTCTGCAGAGACGAGGCAACAGAGTCACTGTCTTCTGGCTTCCGTCAGCGATAGATTCAGACTTGGCGCAAGCGGCCAAAGTAATAGCAATGGAAAGTACCAAAGCGAAGGACACCACAGAAACGACCGGCCGAGCCTACTCGACGGCACTCAGGATCGCTTTACAGAGCGTGCGACGGAGTACGGAGCTTTGCCGGACAACGTAGGAGCACATTCGAAGAAGATCGACATAGCTTTGCCGGAAAACCACATACGCAAGCTGTATGACGACCTGACCTGGAAAGAAGCCAGCATTCTAGCGCAACTACGCACCGGAATGGCAAGACTAAATTGGTACCTGTACCAGATCGGCGCAACCGCCTCGGTGCAATGCGCCTGCGGGCAATCGGCAGAAAAAGTAGAGCACTTCCTCTTCCGATGCACGCAGTGGACGGAGCAGCGGACGCGGATGCTCCAACAGGAAAGAACGCGGAGGAAACCTGTCATACTTTTTCAGAGGAAAGGGCGCGTCCGACCCAAAGGATTGGTCGCCGAGCGTAGAAGTTGTCAAAGAAACGATCGAGTTCGCCATGAGCACGGAGAGGCTAGATGCACAGATCAACCAGGAGCGAAACCACACGCAACTAACATCATCAAATTAATCGGAGACACCTCCACGCACCCTCGTGCCATCGACAGCAAGACTAGCTTCAGCCGCCGACGATAGGACGTCGAACACTTTGAGAAATAACTCCGAGATGGCCTGTTACTAACCCCACGATCAACCGCAGCATTGGCATGTAAAACTGAAGCAGACACGTACGTAGACGAACAAGACTTATATGGGCTTCTGGAAGGCAAGGATATGAACGAGTGTGGAGAGTATGTAGATGATCGTGCGAGCCCTGAATAGCTCAGTCGGGGCGTAATAAACTATGTATGTATGTATGTATGTATGTATGTATGTATGTATGTATGTAGAGATTTCTTCGGATTGGACTACATTGTCCCTGAGGACTCCAAGACCCCCGTGCTCATATAATTCATAGAGACTCAGCTGAAATACTCGTCTGGATCAATCGCTAGTATGTCTCGGCTAATGAATGGGCGACTGGGTCTTCATTTATGTTTTCATTTCAACCGCGAAGTAATGTGGAACCAACAAAATAGATCATTCAATGTAGAACTAAAGGCTACTCTGAAGACCGAAGGCGAGAACGGTCTCCGATCACCTTTGTGATTGTGGGTGAACAGCAAATTGACTAGGTGGCGGGTACGAGTCCGCGGTGCGAGCGCCGCCTCAAATACGGGTACCTCAAGGCTCGTCAATGTCGCCATCGCTGTCCACCTTCTGCAACGCAGTCGTACGTAGTAACGAGATGACGAAAGTCTCATGGAGAGGAAGAGTTATTTTGACTTTGGAAGACTACGACAACGACAGAAACATAAAGCAACAAGCCAGTTTGAAGGGCGGTAATTATATTACGCACTGGCTTTTCCAAAGACATGGCAAAAATCAGGGGAGTTGAGGAAAGCGACACCAAGTATATGCACTAATTCGGACAATGCAGTAGCTGTACAAATAAAATGGGCATCATTACAACTACGATCGTCCGCCGAGTAGCTACAATACATTGTCGCACTCAACCACTACCCACGTCAGATTGACCTTTGGCGTCGCTTCGAGATCTTCTTTCCGCATAGTCCAGTGGTGATCTTGTCACCGGAACCGGGTAGATCGTTTTCTTCCAAACCTTAGCCTTAGAGGTAGCCTTAAAGGGTTATGATGTGATTAAACTTACCAATTCAGCGCGAGATTTGGGGAAATTGTGCTCATTGGAAGACGTGTATTCATATAACCTGCTTTTGAAGCGGACTTGGACGTACACGTCGGCCCCGTACCGTCGTCGTATCTGCTCACAACGCCACATGAAGTTTTTGACCGTTTTATCGCAGTTCTCGTTGGTTCTATCCCTTTTCTTTGGCTGCTGCTGACGAGAAGCCATGATTTGTTGGGTACGGACTGTGACAGTACTGTATTGTTGACGTACCATAAAGTAAAAAATGAGTCTGATTCATCATCATCTTGTCGTTCTACTCTGCCCAATGCATCCCTTTTCAAGCAAGCATACCGCACGAACGCGTTAGTAGGCACCAGGTGGCAGTGGAGCCGCATCTGAGTCTGTTCTGTGATTGCTAGTTCCTAAAATTTGTCGCAGCTTTTTTGGTGAGGGCAGCCAAAATCGGCTTTTGATGCATCTGCTAGCGGGAAGAACGTGGAGTCACCACTTACGGATGTTAGCACGTAGATTTGGACGCGGGTAGCCCGAATGACGGGATCCGACAGCTATCCGAGAGGTAGAACAGGAAGCAAGAACCGTTGGTTTAGGACCAATTGCATGTGCCAGACAGTTATACGCACTTTGTTGCTGAACGGACAGAGCGTAGACAAAAGAGTCCACTTGAAGCAGCACAATGATGAGCTTTTCGTCTCTGACCATACGACGCGAGGAAGCTTGCCATCATTTGGAGGCGAGAGCGACTTTGATTGGAGCCGTCGACGAAAGCGGAAGAGGCATAACTCGGACTTTTTGTCGTCTGATGTGAGTTACACGGCTGCTGAAATTGCTAACCAAGCTCATATATCCGCACTCATGGTGTTTGCACCGGCCGTTTCGAAAAGGAAGAACTTATCTAAGCAGCATATGTATGTGCTGTATTGTATAATTCAAAGATATAATCAAACAATGCAACGCATGGCGACAGCCCGGGACTAGCAAAGATGAGCGGAAGGCACAAAAGATGACGCATAAGCTCGTGCTGGCACACATACAAATCGACTAGCCAGAAAATCTAATACTGTATCATTTATATGTCCACCACGGATCGTACGGATAGATTCTAAATCGGTGTGTATGTGATGCATCATGAGCCTGGCGAACCAGACTATGAGCCTTCGAGAAGCCAGACAGGATTCAACGATTATAAACATCTTCCCTCATCACCACAGTCGTGCGTGAAGTTGCTAATGTCAGAATTCACATGTCGACGAGTCTGCGATCCTCACGAGAAGTTTCCATTCTCATATACGGGCCCATAGAACAGCCTTCCGCCAACCACTTGATTTTGTCTTACTCTTCATGGCGCGCCTCGATGCGTGTCTATCATAAGGAGATCTGGCGATACAACTACAGCAACCACAATACCCTCATATGGTTGGTGAGTCTGGTCTGGGGATACCGCACTCGGCAGACCCCGCGTAAGGATCATTCGAATTCCAGTCGAAAGAATTAATGGTAATCGCGCCATCGCGGCTGGCTGTCCTGAGATTGAGCGAGCGTTCTGCGGAGACTTTCCCGAAGACGTGTGCCACTCTGTACGAGGACATTGCCTCGCTCTTCTTGGTTGGTTCATGATGTCGAGCCGCTGCAGAGCAGGCGATCTTGATACCAGCCGCGATGTCTGGAGACGTTATGCTGGTTGCAAAGCTCGTTCCTTGATGCGAACCATCTTGTGCAATTCTCCTTTCCTTCCTGATACTGTCGCTCTCCTCGTCGGAGTCGCAGAGGAGGAAGGTCGACACATGTTCATCTGGAAGCATCTGTCTGTGAAGCATTTCACTTGATGGGGTGGTTCTCAAAGGTGAGAATACTGAGTGAAGCTTTGAACCCATGATGCGTGTGGATGATTTCTTCGCACCAAATGTTGACTGCGGCATGTTTGAGACCTACATGTCACGAGTGTGCACATACTGCTTCCCACTCACAAGCGCCAGGAGAATAAATGTGCTGTAGGTGCTGCGTATCATCACTCCCCAAAACCCCTGTGGAGCGTGTCTGTTGGGATCAAAGTGTCTGAAGCCAGCGAGCAGAGCCAGAGATGGAAGCTACCGCGTGCAGCCGTACGGCTCGTCTGATCGCTCCGAAAGCCAGGTCAAGTGAAGCTGCCCCACGCATGGCGGTAGTGCAGAAGCTGGATGATGCCAGAGTTGAAGATTCGGAGGGCAGAAAAAACCAGCTGTTGATGGCCTTCGCTTCACGCCGCGCGGATAAGGCTGGTCGAAGTGAGCATTCGGATGCCAACGTTACAAACGTAGGCTGAGAGCAGAACTAAACCTGCGAACAGGGTACATGGCGAAGCAGGGCGGTTGTTGTGGGCCGGGGACAGCCCATCTTCAGAGCCGAAGCAGGCTCCTCAGGTGAGCAGCATCTTTCATCCTAGATATTGACGAGGTCCTAGTTGCGTTTCTAGGCAGACCAGCCGCAAAGAACTCCTCAACAATATCTGATGGATCGTATGGACAGGGTATATGGGTTAAAACCCTATTCGGGTTACGAAAGGCCAGATCTAGATTTCACAGATAGAGTAATAAGGAAGCAGGATCCTCGTCGTGTGGCTGGGGACAACGCCGGTTCTGACGCAGGATATGGCGCAGATTTTGTGTCATAAGCAACTCAGAAGATAGGGTGTTCGGCACTGTAACATAAACGGTGTATGTCTAGAGAGTCGAGCCGGAACCGACATCTAGTGAGGGCCAAAAGCGGAAGCTATAGATGGGCTAGCCGGCAAGCAAGATCCTTGTTTCGACGCCAGATATGACCTGCAACAAGAAAGTGGCAGCGGCTCCCTGGATCTAGACCTCTAGGTATTGGGGTCAGAGTTGGAAACGGATTCCACAAGATAAAGGCATTTCGGTACAAAGAGACCCTTAATCACGTTTTTGAAAATGCGTCATTGCGGCCCCCAGCCGTCGACACGGGCTATTGGACGGAACCTGACGTGAATCCCGCGGGTATGCGATGTAGTAGTGCATGCAAGTGTGTTAGTGCTTGCTGGAGGTGCACGTAGGAGGTGCACGTAGCAGAAAGCCAGGTGAGTCCGCAGATGAAAATCTCCGGACACTGACAATATAAGAGGTATGGTGAAGGCCTATTTGGGTTCCATCGGTCTTGTGGGGGCTGAGCGTCCAAAGCCGACGTGACACCACTTGTACGCTTGACATCCTCGTCCACCCAGACCGGAGCCATTAGAATCTTTTCAACTAGCCTCACATTCTGAAGCTATCTTCAGCTTGTGTCCAGAAAACCAGAGACCACTCGCGAAGAACAGTACTGTCCACCCGGAGGATGAACGGGACCTTCTTCACAACTAGAGGAAGCACCGTAGCGCCTGGATAACAGACCTTAAGACCTTTCTTGAACGAGATGGCCAACTCCGGATCTGTAGTGTATGCATGAGATGCTTCTGGCGTGAAGCGCCGTCCTTTGGGATGAAATCTGAATTCTTGTATTGGATATGAGGCCGCCAAGCCTACAAGTGACTGCGTGACTGCCTCTCGTTCTTGCTATGACGCGCTTTCGTCGCAGGTCACGTCGTCTCGCTCACTACGACAGACGTCACTCGCTATGAAGTCTATTCATCCAGAGTCGATCTCCCTACAGTAGAAATCGAAATTGGTTTCCATATTCTTGGACGGAAAATCTTCTGCGCACAGACGTTTGTGGATCCGTTTGCTGACAGGGTACCTGACAGGGCCCCGACGGTACCTTCTTGATGACACCCGCAGCCGAAGTCAGGAATTGCTTTTACACTGTGTTCGTGCATTAGACCCCTGTTGCATAATCCAACATCCACAAACGGCGGCGATGAGTGTAGTCTACGATTTATGCCTCTTGGTTACGTCCCCTTGTCTGCATATACAGAACTGGCTGTGTTAATGCGTGCGTTTGCGGATCACTATGTGTCTGGGGTCAACCTCCTGATTCTGCTTCAACCCTGATTAATCTAGAAGTATGGCATCAAGATGTTTGGTTTGACACCAAACTTCAGGTTTGCACTGATTTATCACCTATTTTGGCTTCGATGACTCCGCTTAGATTCTTATTACTATTACGTGTACCGTGTGGAAGTGTCAAAGCATCTCTTAATACAATGGAGGTTTCAATCACAGGCTCGCCGAAAAGTGCCATCCCGGACAGGCTATCTCGAAGCGCGGGAGCGCAGGTTCATGTTGATGATCCTCAATTTGCAAGAACACCGGCCACAAAATCCTAATATCCCGCTGACAATCTTGCTAGGTACAATCATATCTCTATGCAGGCGAAGCATGACCTGGTGACAGTTGCACCATGGCACCCAACATCGCTGCATCACAGCATGAGCTGATCCGGGACACGATATCTTCCGGTGAACTCACCAACAATAGCATAGCAGACGCCGCAGGATGTAGTGCGCGGACGGTGCGTAATATTCGAGCGAATCTCGAATGCTTTGGGAACACAAGAGCTCCTCCCAACGGAGTCGGACGTCCCAGGAGCATCACCCCGCCTATGCTGAGTGCTTTGTGCGACCGGCTGATCGAAAAGCCGAACCTCTACCAAGGTGAGATGATTGTGTTCCTTTGGGATGAATCCGAGACCCTAGTGACGGCTTCAAGCATCAGTCGTGCTTTAGCTTCAGCTGGGTGGAGCAAGAAAATGGCCCGACGCATTGCCCAAGAGCGAAACGCAGATCTGCGGGACTTGTACCTCCACGAGTTGTCGGCTTTCCGATCCTATCATCTAGTCTTTGTAGACGAGTCAGGGTGCGATAACATCTACTCGCGTATCTTCCAGGGCACTACCGATAGTGCGGTGTTCGAAAGCTTCATTGAGGAGCTCCTCCCTTTCTGTGGAAGATGGCCTGAGCCGAAGTCCGTAATCGTCATGGACAATGCTTCTTTTCATCACTCTGAACGGATTCAAGAGCTCTGTGCAAACGCAGGTGTTATAATCCATTATCTCCCAGCATACTCTCCCGACCTCAATCCGATCGAAGAGAATTTTGCAGAGCTCAAGAGTTTCATTAAGCGACACTATCAACAGCACGATGGCCTGCCCGAAGCGGACTTCGCGGGGTTTTTGGAGTGGTGTGTGAAGACGGTTGGCGCTCGGAGGTCAAGCGCCAGAGGTCATTTTCGAAACGCCGGAATCTTTATTGAAGAGCCTTGAAGAGATGAAAGAGAAGCCCCATTCTAGGAGCATACCTGATGGCCCCGATGCTCATCCGCACGTTTCAACCCACTTTCCGATATCACGGACGAACCGTCGCGCTACGCCGATCTTGACGCCCTGTTCGATAAAAAAGTCAGGCTCTTGATCTTGGTGCACCTGCTCAAGATCAAGGCCATGATCAAGGGTAACACCGTACGCCTTCCGAAACTCCCTCTTGAGCGTCTCGCTCTCCACCTGCGAGCACTGCCATTCGCAGTACGATCGCACGGCCACATCTCTCGGCCCTGCGATCTCTAAGGCCAACACAACATTGCAGCAGACAGGAGGCGAGGTTGCGAGCGGAGTCGCAGCGCCCGCTGGAGACGCGAGCGGCGAGGAGCCCGGAATTACGTTAGTAATGTTGATCGGCGGGTAATTTGCTGCCGATGGGGGATTGGTCTTGCGTTGACGTTCTGCGTGTTGCTGCTCCTCGGCATACAGCTGGTCGCGGATGTCCTCGGGCATGTCACCGGGAATGTTAAATATACCGCCCTGCTCTACGTGTCGAACGATGGCCTTAAAATGGTGAGACTTCAGCTTGTAATGCTTCTTGCCCGCGCCAACATCGATCCAGCAGTGCGGCCCAAGATTACATGGCGGCCCAGGACATCGCATCAAGGCGTAGACCCGCCGCCAGATCGACGCCTGGCCTGTAGAACTTTCTTCAGCGTCGAGCTGAGCTGCTCGTTCCTGCAGTCTGTCCTGCGTGATAGAAGAGAAGCCACGCTTAGTGCCTCGCTGCACAGCTGTCGAGGACCCAGATTCCAGATAGTTAAAAGATATCTGAACCCTGAGTTCTCTCCCGGCACGGAAAAGATGGCTCCAAGCCTTGAGCTGTCTCTCCACGACAGGCCAGTCAATATTGAGCTCGTCAAATCGCTTGACAAGAACACGTTGGGAGCGATCTCGCACGGACACGATTACGTTGGTATCATCTATGTTGAACGACTTGTTGGATGGCAGCTTCTTCTTCACTAGCTTGTCGAGCTTGTGGTACAGGGTATCTTTGCAAAAGGCATTCGGCGCAAGAACGAGGTCTGGTTCGCTATCTTTCGACACTACTCGGTTGTTTGCTGTCAACTTCCACTCAATAGAATAATGAATACAGGTTGGCGGTTGCTCATCGTAGGTCTCGTTCTCGTCCCAGTCAGCCAGCTGTAGCAAGGGAAGTTTGCCATTCAAAGCTGATGTGTGGCTTGGAGTTGGGCTTAGAGAGACTGTCTGAGCATCCTCTACGTCAAGTACCACAGGGCTAGCGTTCATGCGTTGAGCGCCTCCGGCATGGCCTACATCTGGAACCGCGTCTATCGCATCGAAGTCTGGCCAGTTATATTCGTCAAACGACATATCGAACGCCATTGCAGATGAAGACATGTCGATGAAAATACTGATTTGGGGAGATCTCCGAGTTGGTGGAGAAGCATCGTCTTCACGCGATGCTGGTCCGTATTCGGGGAGGGAGTAACCTTGAAGGTGTCAAGCCAGACGACGTTCTAGAAGCTTCCGTCCGTTAGCGACATGAACGGGTTTGCAACTGCTAATAGTGGGTTACGCGGAAGATAGTTATTCCTCCTTTGGTCAGTGGAGTCGAGTGGTGGCTTCAGCCAATCAGCTAGGTTGATTGTTCCACTCCAATCAATCACCTTACCTCGCCAATCCTATCGCTTGGCTGATTCTAGATGGCCCCTCATATTGTGATACCAATCGATGTTCGAAAGTACACGTTTCCCCACCCTGCCTTCGATCGTCTGAAGATCATCATCCCCATCCTAATGAACAAGGGCCTTTCAACAAGATTAAAACGCGCCGAACCGAGACACGCCGTCCTACGCCCATAGCCTCAAGCCCCGTTCCCACTGTTGGAAAATATTATTGTTTGGCTAGTGCCATCTATCGTGCGACGATCTTGTCATTGACGAGCCTAGATGGTAGTGGCATCTGGAGTATCTCGAACCTCGTGGTTCATTGCCATTTGGAGGGGATCGGCAATCCAAATAGCATCGCATGCCCAAAAACAAAGATAATGCTTTGAGGTCATCGACAGAAGGGGTCCTGGAGTGTTATGCGACTCGCAATTCATGGAGCTCTTCTCAGCCGCTATTGCACTAGAAACGGGGTTTTCGTTTCCCGACCCCAATATCCACACTTTGGAGCATCCAGCAACCAATCACGCAAACATCAGCACTTAGTGCTTATCTTGGATGGCGTTTGGTCCTGCAGGCTGCGACGATGCCACCATGTCTGACCCCTCATGGCAAGGCTGAGGCCGTATCTCTCTGTTCGCAACATGCTGTCCTGACGGGAGCATGGGAGTTCCATGAAACTCGAATGCTCAATAACACATTGTCTGCTACATCCCACTGCGTCCCGTAGTTTCGTATTGCTAGCATCCGGCACTGAATCTGACGCGATATGGCCAATTCCGTCCCCGCCCCCGACTTTACCGTCGGTTGGATCTGTGCTCTGCCCATCGAGCTAGCAGCCGCATCCGAGATGATGGACGAGGAATTCGCCGACCTACCGTCCCAGCCGGCCGATTCCAATCTCTACTCCTTCGGCCGAATCGGCGTTCACAACGTCGTGGCTGCCTGTCTGCCCGCCGGCCAAATGGGCACGAACCAAGCAGCCACGGTGGCCAGCCAGATGAAGACCAGTTTCCCGTCGTTGCGGTTCGGCGTCCTCGTCGGCATCGGCGGTGGCGTCCCGAATCTCGAAGACGACATCGATATCCGGCTCGGCGACGTGGTCATCAGCCAGCCGGCAGGGCAGCACGGCGGAGTGATCCAGTATGATTTTGGGAAAACTGGAGCCGACGGTCGCATCGCTCGCACCGGTAGCCTCAATGCGCCACACACGACCCTTCTCAACGCTTTAGCCAAGCTCCGCGCTAATGACCTTCGGCGCAAGACGCAAGTCCTCAAGCATCTGTCTCAGCTTTCTAGTCAGCCAGATTTTGCGTCGCCGGGCCCTCAGGAAGACATCCTCTACGATGCATCATCGCCGCACATCGGCAGAGCTACATGCGCAAAATGTCATCCAGAAGACGCAGTGGATAGGGACGTACGAGCAACGACGAAACCGGTCCTCTTTTTTGGCAACATTGCATCTGGGAACCAGGTGATGAAGGATGGTCAGACACGCGATAAATACAGTCAGGAGCTGGGAGGCGTCCTGTGCTTCGAGATGGAGGCGGCCGGTCTGATGAACAATTTCCCTTGTATCGTCGTTCGTGGCATCTGCGACTATGCAGACGCGCACAAGAACAAGCGGTGGCAACCATACGCAGCAGCGACAGCAGCAGCATACGCTAAAGAGCTGCTTAACACCATCCCGCCGCTAACGTCTAGCAATCTAGATAAGGCAGAGGATTGTAAGTACAGCGCGTAGAATGAATTTCGATTGAAAGCTAAGAGTCTAAAACCTGCCAGCTTATCAGAAACCCCACTTCATCGTACCATTTGGACGAAACGAAAACTTCGTTGGCAGAGATGCGATCTTGACGCGCCTCCGGGATCGGATACCTCCGAGTGCCAACAAAGACGCTTGTCAGAAGACTGCGATTGTGGGTCTTGGGGGGATTGGCAAGACACAGGTCGCGATCGAAGCCGCCTATCGCGTTCGCGATGCACACCCAGACTGCTCCGTTTTCTGGGTTCCGGCTGTAAACACAGTCATGTTTGAGAATGCATGTCGTGAAATCGGCCGGGCGCTCAACATCCAAGATATTGAAGATGACCAGGCAGATGTCAAAGGCTTGGTAAAGGCTACATTAGAACGTGATAATTCTAACAGCTGGCTTTTGATCGTCGATAACGCCGACGACACAGAGCTGCTGTTTACAAGCTCCAAGCTAATGAGCTATCTCCCCTCTAGTCGGAAGGGCTCTATCCTGCTGACAACGCGAAACCATCAGGCCGCAGCAAGATTCAGTCGTTGTCTCCTTATGCCCCTAGAGGAGATGGATACAATGGAAGCCAATAACCTCCTGCGCAAGGGCTTGGATGAGAGCCAGGTTAGCGACAGTCAAAGCATGACACAATTGCTTGAGTACCTCGCCTACTTGCCCTTAGCCATACGACAGGCATCGGCTTACATGTCTTCTAACAAAAACGTGACTATATCCAAATACCTTGGATATTGCGAGGCTAGTAACGATAAGATGTTAAAGCTGTTGAGCAAGGACTTCGATGACCAAGATCGATACGGGGATATTCGGAACCCAGTGGCCACAACGTGGCTGATCTCCTTTGATCACATCTCTAGAGATAACACACTTGCGGCAAAGTACCTCAGTTTCATGTGTTATCTCGCAGAAAAAGATATTCCAAGAGCTCTTTTGCCCCCCGAAGAGGACAGAATGGATGCGGACGACGAAATGAATGCCGATGAAGCAATAAGTACGCTGATAGCCTACGCCTTCATTCTGCAGCGGGATACTGCGGATAGGTTTGATATCCATCGACTTGTGCGTCTGGTGATGCGTAACTGGCTAAGGGAGCAGGGGAAAGAAGAAGAGCAGGTGACAGAGACGATTTACTGGCTTTGCGAGAGGTTCCCTTGGCCAAACCACAGGAATAAAGATGTGTGGATGGCCTACTTACCGCATACGCAAGCGGCGCTCCAAGTAAGAGATTGGTGCACAGACGACAGGGCGTTATGGGATCTGCTGTCTAGTGCAGGAGAAGGTAACTACCTGCTTGGGAAGTATGGCCAGGCAGAGCAGATGCATCGACAGACACTAGAGCTGAGTGTGAAGGTGCTGGGACCAGAGAATCCCGACACACTTATCAGCATGGATAACCTGGCACTCGTGCTTCGAAGCCAGGGGAAGTACGACGAGGCAGAGCAGATACATCGACAGACACTAGAGCTGAGCGTGAAGGTGCTGGGACCAGAGAATCCCGACACACTTATCAGCATGGATAACCTGGCACGAGTGCTTCGAAGCCAGGGGAAGTACGACGAGGCAGAGCAGATACATCGACAGACACTAGAGCTGAGCGTGAAGGTGCTGGGACCAGAGAATCCCGACACACTTACCAGCATGAACAACCTGGCACGAGTGCTTGGAAGCCAGGGGAAGTACGATGAGGCAGAGCAAATATATCGACAGACACTGGAGCTAAGCGAGAAGGTGCTGGGACCAGAGAATCCCGACACACTTATCAGCATGAACAACCTGGCAGGAGTGCTTGAAAGTCAGGGGAAGTACGATGAGGCGGAGCAGATGCATCGGCAGACACTAGAGCTGAGTGTGACAAATAGGGATATGTTCCACGTCAGCAGGACCGCGGGCAACTATAGGTCTCAGGACCATATCGAGTGGAAGAGACCACTGAGTTTTCTTAACATCTCCACACATACGCCAAAGAGGAAGGTTATAGGATCGGCATATCCTTTAAACCTTAGAATAGAGAATAACCTACACGTTAGTTTAGAAGTTTGGACGGACTCTAGTTCTACGGCCTCGGTAGACTGAATCTGCTATAGTATTTGTCACGATATCCTTATAGTGTAAGTCAATTCTGCCTAGATAGCCCTTGCCCAGCTTTGTCAGCGATTCTTAACTTAATAAGTTATATTGCGGGGAAATATACTTGGAGAATTTAAGGAACTTTTTACCTTATAACCCCATTGTATACGGCAGGCTCTCAGCGAATATCATAATCTGAGGGGCTATCTGAAATTAGCGAAAGCGGCTGATCCTGTATGACGTATGATCGGTGGGGCTGGAGAGGTGTATGTAATCAGGTGGAAATAAGTGGTATAAAACCGAGACCGCACTTTATTATCACCGCCATTTGTGGATGCTAGATTATGCAACATGGGGTCAACCACAAGCACAGTGTAACAGCAGATTCTAGCTTTACTGCGGAAATCATCAATGAAAGTACTGTCAGGGTCATATCATGTATCCTGTCAGCGAGTGGATCTACAAATATCTGTGCGCGGAAGAATTTCTGTCCTAAGAATACGGAAACCGATTTCGAATTCTACTGTAGACGTGGTGTGGCACATCTTCAACCACAGCGAACCCCACGTCCAGTCCAGGTTCACGCGATGCTCACGCACTTGGTATTCGTTCTTCAACCCCAAGCTTTACAGAAACGATGTGAAAACGGGAAAATACTCCGCCGTTTTCAACACCATTGCCAACTGCACAGATACGCGGGTGGCTCTAGCCACGCTCCGGCATACCTGCCGAGCCGGTTCTGACTACAACAGACCGGCCACCATGTATATGACCGAGACCCATCGATACAGCCCTTTCCTCGTTACGGCCCTGTACCTGGCCGCTTCGAAAGGCTACCCTGACATTGTGTCATTTCTCCTTGACCACGGTGCCGATATCGACGGGGTCCCGGACTGTCGGCTACGGACTCCCGTCTTCCTTTCTCTTCTTAGCGGAGACGCCAAGACGTCCATGATCCTCCTTCGGCGCGGCGCACGGCTTGAGTCTCCCGAATTCGGCATCAACGCCCTCCATCAAGCTGCCGCCGCCGGGCTCACCGAAGTCATCGCGTATCTTGTCGACGAGAAAGAGATGGAAGTGAACGAGGCCGACAACAACGGGGACACGCCGCTGATTCACTCCCTGTTGTTTCCGTCGCCAGAGACGGTCATAGGCCAGCTGGCGCAGTTCGGCGTCGACGTGAACCAGCCTACGACGATCGACACTTGGCGCATGACGGCCCTCAGCATGGCGTGCGAGGACGGTATGTTCTCCGCCGCCCTGGCACTGTTGAAGGCTGGAGCGGACGCCACGGGCGAGCTGGACGGATTGGTCGAAGGGGCCGACCCGGCGCTTCGTATCTTCGATCAAAAGCCGCTCGAGCTCGCGCTTCTGGCCCGGGTCAAAGAAACGGATGGCAGGACGGCATCGGCAAAGCAACGGCTCATCGACCTCCTCCTCAAATCGGGCGCTGACCCAAACTCAGTGGTTTGCATATCGGCGCGCTGCAACTGGACAGGGCCTCTTTTGCTGAAGCTGGCTCGAGAGAGGCGCCGCTGGGAGGCCGAGATGTTGCTCTCTTCGGGTCTTGTAGACATTGACAGGCGCGACTCGCATGGCGCGACGAGTCTCGATTGGACACTTTCCACATGTCACGGCAACCCCGTGATGGCGTCGATCTTGCTGCGGCGTGGTGCCAAGATGGACGATGCCGTGTTGTGCGACATTATCGGCAAGCTGGCGCGGCTTGCAGACGCACAAGACCACTGGAGTGTGATCAGCCTGTTGACGCGAGAGCCTAAGCTGTTGAAGATATTCCATGTGTTGTATTCGCACTGTTTCTTGGCAGCGTCCCGGGGCGGCGACGCTGCCGCATCAGGGTTTTTGCAAGAGTCGCCGAGCGTGATTGTGCGTCTCGTCACGGAGATGTTGAAGCACGGTGTGAGTCTGACGAAGACGGGCGTCTTGAACATGCTGCGAAATGCGAAGGAGAGTAGGCCAGGGCCAGTCATCGCAGGGGTTTTCCGATCAGAGGGAAAGAGCGCCATACGGAGGTGGTGTTAGTTTGATAGGTCGGAGTGGTAAGGGGAGAGATGCGGGACTGTCAAGGTAAGAGAAAATGGTACCGAGGGCGGGAGAAAGTTGGTAGGCGAAGCCGGTGATAAGGTAAATAGCTGTCAGTCATAGACGTGACATCACAGCCCTGATGGGAGGAGAGGTTACATTACTTAGTAGGGAGCACATCGTCCCGGATAGCATTTATTCCGACTAGGCATCAAGTGTTCTCCAGCCGCGCAAACGTATAAATCATAGAGCCCGCCATCTTTGTTGAGCCATATGTGCACACCTTCTTCCTCATTTCCAGGAGCACGCTCACAGGCTGGCTGACTGTTTCAAACGACATGGATTCCACGCTCGATACAGGCATTCCGCCTTTAGACCACTTGACAACACAGCTCTTCGGGTGCTCTTTCCTCGATGAAAATGAGCTCGAGAAAAGAGAGAAGGCCGTTGAAGTCGTGAGACAGAAACATAGCAGAAAAAGGGCTCGTGCCAATATGTGTAGGTTCTTCTACGGTACAGTAACGTACGTATCGTCAATGGCATCTGCTGACACGAAAAAGACAATAACGACCCCGCCACTCCCGATGACACGTCCGAGGATGACTCCACGGCGCCGAACACACCAGATACAAGGAGAGGGTCCAGTGACCCTGGGCAGAAAGCCGAGGATGAATGTAGCACAACTGTGCCCGTTACTGCTGTAGCTGCGCTGATGCAGGAGATTGCAAAGAACAAATGGACTGCTGTCATTTTGGTGGAATTCGACGGCAGCGAGAAGGCGATGTTGAGGGTGGGTGTTCCGTCTCAAGACAGGCATATCCGGAGAGAACTCTTAGGGCTTGAGAGCGCTGGTCAGGATACCAAGCGGGGATTCCAACTGTGAAGGAGAAATGCCGGCTCGTATGAGGGTCGAGCTGCTAGGAAGATGTATCGTGACAGCACAGCCAGTTAAGGTGGCTTTTCTGCCATACATCAAACTATTTATCCAATTACATTATTCAATGCAACCTTATACAAACATACAAGACAGTGTGATTCTGCTTTTGCCAGGTCTGCACAGTTGTGGTATCGCAACGTTGCAGGTAGACACCGCCACCGCAGACACGATCTTGCCAGTGGTTCAGACTGGAGACCTGAATCAGAGCCTTCGCCGGTGAAGAGAGCAGACATCTTTGACTGCGGAAACTTACCACATGCAGATACGGCCCCGTACTGTAACACCGGCGAACGTGAGTCTGCCTACATAGCTGTATAAATTCAGACTATCTGACGATAGCTAGTGCCTACAACGTAGCCTTCCCACATCAATCTCGGAGATTTCCGCTTCCCTAAGGAGAACGCTGTATCCACATAGACCTACCGTGCCTCACTCAAAGATATTACCGTCAAAATGACGGTGCGGCGAGGTTCGATAGTCCACGCAGCCTGGTCCTCGTGTCTCGAGGTAGCTGAAGTCATTTGCACCGCCACGAGTGGCGCTCATATGTTCTACGGTGTGGTCGTGGGGATCCGTAACCCCCTCGAGTGGGATTGGCTGGGCGATTATCAACCTTTATGGGTCTTCGAAGACGGAGAGTGCATCAAGGTATGGCAAGAATGCGTCGAGCGACCCCGGCCAAGCAACGCGACTTGGGCGTCCCGTCTTCGGTGTGTCGTGGGCTGCTACGAGACGGATGATGGCATCAATCTGTACGCCGTCAAGTGGGACGGCTACGCCTGTCCGACGTGGGAAGCAGAAGAGGACCTCTTCAGTTACGGCCAAATGATGGCCGAGCATGACGAGAGTTGCCAGTGCACGCTAGGCCTTGAGAGTGGCTACCGACACAATGAGTGGACCGGACGAGGTCGGCGAAAAGGGGGTTCAATCACGCCGCTCGTTGGTTTGCGGCCGCCAGATGTAGACTTAACGGCAGAGATCTAGATCGAACGAGGGAGCAAACTTCTGTCGCTCTGGGCCATCGATCAGCTTGTGCCGTCAAGTGGGGCGACCAGATATGGTGCACTGCCTGAAGTGATTCTGGGGTTGCCGATCTGGCTCTGACACGACCAGGGATGCGCTGTCAAATCCAGAACGAGCTCCCTTTAGATTACAGTGCACACGCCCCAGATCGAAGAGCGGCTCCTGGAGCATGCAAAGATCCACTGATACAGCACCAGCTCTGCCGCGAGGTCCCAAAAGAATATTTGTAGCTACGTACTGTACATATGAGCCGAAGTGTAGTGTTCCAACGTTCCATCGAGACACTGTCCGAAAAGAGCATTTCCACTTCCGAGGTATTGTCAGCCAATTAAAATGTTCCCGGAGTCTTTCCGTTCATTCGACGTCGTGAGTGAATGGGCTTCTTCCATGTCGCCCCACATGGAGCGAGCTCGACCGGCGCCTCCCATGACTGGCCCTCAAGTGACGTTCTGCCCCTCACTTGTCTCGAAGGGACGAACGAAGCACATCCAACCCCACACCAACAGCGACCGACCGTTATCTCGTCAATCTGCGGCAGGGGCTCGCCAGGCTTCAAACGCCGCATTCTGCAACAAAAAATGTCAAACAGGGCGTCTTGAGAAACCTGCCAGAGCAAAGATTAAGCAGGATGGTTCCATTCGCAGTCTCGATACATGCACCCTTATCGAAGCGGACGGAATGACAGAATGGGAAGGCTCCGCTGAAGCCAGTACGCCGGCTGCGGAGCCTCTTCAGTTTATCCGTCGTGTGGACTTGGACGGCACGGCGGCCGGTCGTTCTTTGATCGGAAGCATGTTGAAGAAGTTCGGATCTGTCAAGGGAGATGGGAGCACGGTTGCGAGCGCGGATAGAGGATGGGGACATTAGTGAAATCATTGGTGTCATGTTGTCACGAGCTGTGGCAGGCACCAATGGGTGTAGGGTGTGGGACAAGAGGCTTGTATTGACTCAAGAAGAACGTAAAGAAGAAACAAGAGTCTATGATTGAAACGAGTTTGAGAACCACCTGATAATGCATGTAACAGGCCGATCGTGGAAAAGTGACCCTATCCCCGATTTGTGACGTGTTTTGAGTCTGGATACTACTTGTAGATGAAGAACACCACGACCTGCGGGCTCATAGCCTGGAGATCACGTCGGTACAGTCCAGTCGATGGCTCTGACATGGAAGAGATGGGCTTCCCGCATCCCCGCTCGTGCATAACTCAACTCTTTCTCTGCATTCATCCTATCCTAAGTTCGAAATGCCACCAGCTATGATACAAAACGGCGCAGGACCGGACGTGAAAAGAAATAAAGGAAGAAAGATGAGGCCTCTCAATATCTCCACGCGGTTATCTGCTCGGGAAAAGCCGATACTGGAAGAGTAGTAGGTCTAACGTTCTCCCCAATAACACCTTCGTTGTCGACGTTTCCAAGAACAAAGCCCTGTTGCGAGATAGGCCGGCCATCAAGATCATAGACCCATGGGGAGAGCGGCTCATCATAGACAGCGTGAGACGAATCAGCCGCGTTTGTCAGATATCCATCAGTGAACCCGGTTTGGAGATGTGAGCTCTCCGTACAAGAGCCGCTCGGTATGCTATGCTCTACTGGCTTGAACACACAGATTCCGCACCCAGCATACCATCCACAGTAGCAATCGTGAGCCGCATGAAGAAAGGCTGGATCGTAGACTGCTGAGCCAGAGACGTCGAAGCATTGTTGACAGCACATGGACCGTAGAAAACAAGGACTTGGATTAATCAGCGACCATTCACTACTTCACGGCGTTTGGAGATACTTACTTCATGAACGCAGTATGCAAACAGATAGGACACATCTGGGCCGAAAGGCCAGCGGAGCCCGCATTGTAGTAACCGCTGAACATCTGTTCCTGGAGGGCCATACTCGAGGACGTGACGTCTGAGGACTGCTGTGTATATACCGAGACCATATCGTTGAAGGTGGGTTGCCCAGAGGACGTCAGCTTTGCAGGCGATAATAACGAGCACGCCGACGTGGCATGGCCTGTGGTATCAGAATGCGATTCCATGTCTGCTTGTTGGCACTGGATACCTATCGACGGTGACATAGCATATGCGGGCGGGGTGTGCGGTCCGACGATATCTTCTTGAACAGCCTCCGTCTCGTCACAAAGTGTCGGCGTGGCCGCAGTGGGCGCCAAAAGATACTGTATGGAGGTTCGAGAAGGCATTGCTATCGGATGGTTTGCTGAGTATGTTGTTCGATGCTGGACTTTGCTGGAGCAGGATGTGAAGTACGTGACTGAGGAGATCCGCACTACTTATGTCGATGATTCAAACTGCGCACCTGTTGCTCTTCGCCAAATTAGGCATGCCAAACTTGCGCAGGTGGTGCCGAGTACAGGTCGTCAATGGTCGTCACGGCCGTGGAGATGGCTGTTGATTTTCGTGCCAGCTTGCACGAGTCCGCGTGTCGGACAAGGATTCGGGTCGGCGAAGCGGAAGCGCCGTAGGCGATGGGCGGGGGATGATACCTGGCCAATGGCTAGAATATTGTGAAGCTCTGCCAACACGAAGATGAGTGTAAGAATCAGGAGGCTGGTTGGCACTTGCGCACGAATCGACGCTCACCAACATCTGGAGCGCGATCTGGGTTGCGACTGGCCGTGGGGCTTCCTGACGGTAATGATGCATCACAGCCGCTTCTGGATGCGCCGGCTGGTCGAGGTGATCCCGTGCGGTCAGCCCCTGGCACAACAGATGATCAATGTATTATGTCAAACAAACAAGTTTGATTGCCCAGATATCGCCTTCTATCCCGAGAAGGAAGCACTCAATACACTATCGCTTTGTCTAAGGCGGCACGGCTGATTGGGCGCGCTGGACAGGGAATGGCCTTGTTTCTGCGCGGGTCAAGCATCCGCAGAGACGTTTTTTGAAGGCGTTTCTACTGTATTGACTGACCTGAAAGCACAAGGGTATCTGGTTCTTAGTGATCACTATCGGATCCTCACCATTTGCTAGGTTGACAAACAACGCCAACAAGGGCGTCGAACGATCCAGGGCAAATACGCAGCCGGCGGTTGTCCTACCTTTGACCTCGGCCTCAATGAGCTTGCATATGTTGTCGGGTTATTAGTTCATCTCGCTCGGCGGTGGACATGTGGTACAGCATGCAAGTCAAAATTGAATTTCCATGATTGAATTCTACAAGTCACATGTCTGTATTAATTCACAGACCTTCCTACCCGTTCACATGCAACAACTCCGTACAGGGACTCAGTACAAGAACCTAATCAAATACCGCAGGGCTAGCGGTAGATGCCGTGCGTGGTCGGCTCCAGCAGAAACTCGTGTGCCAGCTAGCACTGCGATGATACGTCTCAATGCTATTTTATGTTCACATCTTCAACCACAAGCCATTCGAGGGGCTTCGTGCTGTTCGGCGAGAAACAATATTGCAAATGTATTGTGTATTGTTTCTTCCAAGGCAGCTGGTGGCGCAGAATGTAGAAATACTCGAGAAACCCCTGGCCCTTATGGTAATATAGTACGCAAGTTGTCAATTCGTCACTCTTCAGGCAGAACAGGCTGCCATAAGCTCGAACTCTGGTCTGTTCGTCCACGTCATCGTTATCCTCTTGGATGTTCAACGTCAACCGCGGACCCGGGCGCTGATGGCGCAAAAGGCCATCAGAGCTGTCGAGCCGCGGCCGTTTTAGAGAGTCGACCAGCTTGGCTCCGTATTGGATATCTCCGGTCCAGTCCATGGATGCAGCTGCGAGATGAAGCTGGTGGCAGTCTTCACCAAGCGCAAGTCGCTCAAGGTCAGATCCAAAGAAAATGGGATTGGCCTTGAGTTTAGCGGCTGTTTCATGCCATGTATTGTCGGCGAAGAAGATGTTCATGACATAATCGAGTACTTCCTTCGCTGACCTGGGCATTTGGGGAAAATGTGAAGAGCGTTGAGTCGTAGCTGAGCCCTTGCTAGACCGTGATTAGAGGTCGCCCTTATATATGATATACTCAAAGGGTGTGCGGCGCGTGGCAGTGTGTTTGGCCGGCAATCAGGAATGATGGCGTTGATCGCGCGAACTGGTAAGAAGGGAACTTTCGGCTCATCGGTGAAGTATCTCTTCTGGTAGGTTGGTGACGATTCTGGAGCGTCTCGCAGTCCTATATGGGACGAAGAGAATGGCGGATCAGCCAGTCTTGGAATAGTCACAGGATTGAAGAGGCTTGATTTCCAATATCAACGAGATACGGGTGCTACTGCTGTGCGAATGAGCCGTTTTGTTCTCCTAAGAAAGCAAGCAGTAGTCCACGTACAGTATCTGTATTTTCCATTTGCATGACTTGTCAGAGATGGAAGCGAGTCACGTGAAAGAGGTTCAAATCACCATTCAGGCGTTGGAGACCAGACGTTCTTAGAGACGGATCACTTACGACGCCTCCAAACGGCGACGTTGGAGGGCTTGAGCCATGTCAGACAGCAGCGTGATACCATTTCAACTCTTGATGACAGAAGTGATTCACATTAATGACAGCGGTGATATGTACAGTTATGTACGTATGTACAGGGGCATGAAATCTCTATTTCTCTCTATGATACAATATCACACGATAAACATGGACTCGGCGAATACCGATGCAGACCATGTGCGCTCCATATCAGAGCCAACCTCCGGGATTGTATGGTGGCTGCTTCCGCTTCAACTCCGGCTTAACGGCCTCAAAGTCATAGCCTTCTCGACCCCGCCTGACTGGAGCCAAGAGCACGTCGAGGTCATCCTCTACTCCTGGCTCGTCTGGCTCGTCTCCAGCCTGCACCTCCACGTCTTCCTTCTGTCGAAATTTAGACGGATGGCCGGAGCCCATGTTTCCCTCCGCAGGCATAGTGTTTGTCTCATTCATGACGCTCTCAAAACGGCTGAAAACATCTCGAAGCTGTACCACAACTTGTTCGACATCGGACATGAAGGCGGTTCCTGTGAGAGCCAAGCTTTTCCAATAGTCAAGTTCTTGCCTGAGGCGACCGGAGTCTCTCACGAGTTCTTCCAGACGTTGTTCCTTACTGACTGGTGCCTTCTGAGACTGTATGGTACTGTTTGTAAGGTCGGTTGCGTGGGTTCTCCCGCCCAAGGCCGCGACTGCGTTGTCTATGTCGCTTGGTAAGCGCGGCAGACCGTTTGATCGGCGAGGGCGCTTCAAAGGTCTGGACGTCATGTCGGATTGCCATTGAAATGGGAAGAGTGCCGATGGGTTGCCGAGCGAAATGCGTGACATGGATCATCTTATGTGAGGACGGACACTGCGTTTGCCAACCGCGAAACTCACGCCAGATGTAGACGAGATGTAATATGTGTAAGCCATGGCAAGGTCGTCTGGTCTTGTTCGGGCTGCTCTCGTCGTCAACTCGATGAGCGAAAAACCAGAGCTTTCACTGGTGCGTGAGCCAGCAGATGATTCCGTCTTGATTCTGTATGTATAGCACACTCCATGCATGGATGCCGTATGCACAGCACAGTTATGAACTTTGAGACTATCTCTACGGTCCCGGCATCATTGCAGAGACCATACAGAAATGGTCATTCATGCGAAAAGCTGACCGCTGAGCCGTTGGTGGCTTCTGCAAAATCCGGTTGCGTAGAGCCTCGCTTCTCAGAAGACGGTATCGGATGTCGACACGAGCTTATACGTACGAAGAGCACAATGTGCCTGGTCCAAAAACAAAGGCAGTCTAGAGCCATTTTGCTGACGATATAAATCTCTTCATTGGCGGTGGCATGAGCTGGGCTACCAAATCACCACAGACGCGCCGGGAGAGATCATGGATTCAATGTGGTGAGCGTCGCACTGTCACATTGCCACAAGATTATCTTGCTAACGGAAGTCAGGACCAACCTACTTAGACAAGATGAGCGGTGCTGCCTCGCCATCTGCCTGGCAGTCAATTGCCCTCACAACGGACTGACCGACGACACGTGGTACCCGCCGCTGAACAGAGTCAAAGAACACATGAACAGCACCGCCGGAGATCGGTTCATCGCCTACATCATAAGCTGCCTGTGTGGGCCACTGCAAGGCAAAGAGTTCGTCGTCAAGGTCGCCGCGCTCTTAGCGTGCCTGAAAGCCCGCGAAGCGCCCGAGGAACGTGACGATGGCCCGTCGGACAACAGGACCAACTTGTTGTTCGAGTTTGACAAGGCACTGAACTTTGACTTTGGAAACATGCTCATCACCATCAAAGTGCTCGAGCAGGTTCTGATGTTCTCCGCGCGGATTTGGGAAATCCATGCGCCGGAAGACACCATTCACCCCGGGACTTTGCCAGCGACTTTCGACCTCTGCGACGATTCGGTGTCGAGAAAGATGCTATATATGTACTGCTGCGTACGAATCTTGTTTCCCGACACTCATGAGGCGACCATGCACCGGACACGGGCCGTTTTCCAGATGAGCTCTGCAGATGCGGCCGAGCTACTTCTCGACACGCTCAGCGACGAGGAGCTGGAGGCAGGGGGGCACTCAATGTGTGACGTGGACGAGGACCTGTTTGACGGCGAGGGCAACGAGCCTTACCGTCCTGACATGTCTGACGTTGATTCCGGCGAAGACTCAGATATGTCGGAAGGGGGGAAGTTAGACGACGATTATGGTGATCCAGACGTCTCAGATGAAAGCTATGGGCCTGGCGCAGAAGAAGATGATAGCGATGTAGAGTAGTTGCCGAGTTTGTCACGCATGGGGGTGTGTTATTCAATAATTCTCTCATGACTATCCTTGGAAATTTTCATATTCCTTCATATTCCTTCCATGTCGTTTACGTGTGAGGAGATGACCTGCCCCGGTATCTTCCAAACGTCCAGAGAGTGTTCTGTATGCCATGCCCTGTGTTCTGTACCGCGCAACGAAGATCCCGCCCTTGAGGCCGTGACACGTGCGATGCATTGGTGTTGCTGGTGATGGCTTGCATGGAGTCCTAGATCACCTCGCTCACCTTTAAGTCAGGTTGCAAAGCACGAAGCATCGAGTGACGAGCCTAATGATGCCGCGAAACTCGCAGCGAAAGACCATAGGCACAAGACGAGAGATTCGTCCACAAACTGCCCACCAGCGGCGTAAATGGCTTCTTGTTATTGGCGCCTCAGCGCAGGAAGCAAGTTCCGTCGACTGTACTACGATTAGAACCAGAAGTGCTTTCTCGAACCATACACACCCCGTCTATTTCATCGAATCTCTCTCGCAGCGAAAAGACCTCCAGCTGCAGGATGCTAGCTCGGCCAGCATCGAAACACCGGTGACACCGCCGCCAAAGTCTGTGTCAGCATCTCCGCGCTCCTCATCGACGTCTCATATGCAATGTCTCATCGATCGTGGACTCTCGCAGTGCTGGCCCTCCAGCTTGCTGTCGACGCCGTGAATGCAGCGTCGGCCGTCGAGATCCTCTCGCAGGTCCCGTCGTGTGCTGTTAGTCATTGTGGCATCAGCCAGGCTTTCGTCGCGCTAAAGCATCTACCATCTAGTCTGAGTGCATCAGCAGCACATTCATCACGTCCGCCTGCGATCCAGAAGACGTGACTACGTGCATCTGTCTCGACATTGCTGTCCAATCGGACCTTTCGACATGCGTGCAGACGAACTGCCCGTTTGACGATCAACTAAGTTGGCCCCGCCATCTCCTCTTTGGAAGCCCATCTGACATTCTGAAGCTGCAGCGACGGTGGAGGGAGCCCTGTGTGAAGCGTATCCTAAAGCATCACGAAGGACGGAAGTCCGGCGGACGCTCATCATCAGCTGCAGTCTTGTGCTGTTCATCGTGACGCTTCGTCTTTTCACGAGCAAGCAGTATGCGGGTGGTCTATGGAGGGACGACTACATGACCATCCTCGCGGCGGTACCTGACCCCAACTCTCCAAGAAATCCTTTCTGATGTCGTCTGCCAGGCACTCCTCATCGCCTTGGCCGCGGTTTATCTGCACATTACAAGCATCGGCTTCGGCATGCACTACTGGACGATACCAGTCGGTAACGGGGTCGTCATCCGAAAGGTTCGGTGATCCGGGCCCGCCAGGTGTTCGCGAATCGTGGAATCCCGTCCTAACACCGAGTCAGATGCTGTACGTTGGAAACTTGATCTACACTGTCCTTCAAGCCGCCGTGAAGCTGTCGATCATGCTCTTCCTCGGCCGCATCTTCCCGTCGGAGACCTTTCGGAGGATCGCTCAGGGCCTCCAGGTCGTTCTGCTCCTGCATGGCACGCTCTTCACCATCCCGTTCGCGACGCAATGCGTGCCTGTGCAGTCGATATGGGACCGCACCATCACCGACCGCCGATGCCTGAACCTGCAAGCTGTGGGCTACAGCAGTGGCGGACTCGCCATGGCGGAAGACATCGCCATCTTGCTCCTGCCGGTCCCCTACGTGTGGCGGCTCAAGATCTCTCTCCGGCGACGCCTGGCCGTCATCGCGCTGTTTAGCATTGGGTCATTGTGAGTTAGGTCATACTTCCCGGCAGAAGGGTGTGAGGAGAAGGCTCACACGGCAGACAGCGCGTGCGTGACGTCGGCGGTCCGGGTCAGATACCTGGTGGAATACAGCACCACGTTCGACGAGACGTGGGACCATGTCGATATTGTGGCGTGGTCGTTCATCGAGCAGTCGACGGCGATGCTGTGTGCCAGTTTGCCCAGTCTGCGTCTGCTGCTCGTCAGCGTCTGGCCCCGACGTCGGTCTACGGCGTCGGAGAGCTTTCCCAGCAAGGACAGTCCGAAACACAGGTGGACCCGGTCTGTTGACAGAATGAGGCGCCACAAAACGCAGATACGCAGAGACAGCGGCCCCGGGCCGCAGCATACCGGCGACGGCGTGCTTGTGACCACCACGGTGGAAGTCGATCGGCAGTCCTACGTGGCTCTCGACGTACCGCCCTTTCCCCCGCCTGCCTATTCTGGGCGTAGCGACAACACGTAACAGCAAGTCATGAGAAAGGGGAGAGGGACAATATCTTTCAGGAATCTATGATGAGCTACGATGAGCCATGATGAAGGGTTAATTCGCGGGCATGATGCTGCAAGTTATCCGTGAAAGGAAAGCGACGCGAAGTCAGAGTCCACGGAAACATTGCCATTATTAGGCGTTGGAGTTTGACGGGTGTCTGGCTACTTGAAAGGCGGCGCAACGAGTCATGAGATAGTTCACACAGCGACGAGTTTAGTACATGAATCAAGTAGGGTATTTCTTTGTAGAGATGGAAGCCATAGTGCATGTTCCGGAAGTTACATCGAAAAGGCTGCCAAAACTTCAGCTACAGTTTTCGAGGCCGTATTGCCGCCGAGGCCTTATGTTGTGATGATTTTTCTTCGTGCAAACCTCCGGGCCTTTTGGTGGGCGGTGCTTCCGATGGTCAATGAGATCTCGCGTAGCTTTCTGGTGCAGTGAACACCTGGATTTCGCCCGTCTCTTCTTCAATCACGTAGAGCTGCGGCCCCACATCCTTGCTCGTACGTGGTTCGACAGGCGGTCTCTTTACCGCAATTCAACTCTGGCACCGAACCAGCGACAGACGGCAAATCAGTGGTAAGGGAAGTTGAAGATGACCCACCGCTAGCGCCTGTCAGTGCTCCTCAGGCGTCATGACGCTAGCCCTGTGGGCGCTCGAAATTGAGATCGTACCTTGCATGCTGTGCGATGGGATGAATGGTGATTGACGAATCCCCAAGCCCGCCATGTTCCCGCGGCAATGCGGTCGGAGCCCGTCCTGCGTCGCGCCTGGCCGGCCCAGATGCTTGAAGCCGCAGCCGTTTCTGGCCGTTCCACTACGGCGGCGGGCGTTCTTTTTGAGAAAGAGCCGTCGACAGCAAAGTCGATTGGGCCCTGGTAGCTTGTTTCCCAGCACAGATCCGGCAACAGCGTAGAAGCAACAATCGGCCACTTCCTGCGGCGTACTCTGCGAGCCCCAGACAACGACATCTACATTCGGCTTTCCACCGTGGATGGCTCCAAACTCCCTTGTTTGACGTATGTGAGGGTAGGTCGTTGGTGGCGAGATACCCTCTCGGATCCTACCACCGACGGAGCCGAAAATCCGTCGTCGCTCCTGGTCCCTTGGTCATGGGTCTCTGACAGCATCTGATTCGCAGTACGGGCATGGCGAAAATGGTGCAGTCAATCTTTGGGGGAGGAATTCATTCTGGTGCTGGACGCCATGCTACCAACGACTGGGAGACGGCAAATGGGAAAAACACCAAGCTATGGCTCACGGATAAGAGCGCGAAATAAGAGCTCTTGTCAAACAGATGGGTTTGTTGGACTCACTGGCGCTCACGAATGTAGCTACATACAGTATCCGCCTCGACTCTTTGATCTGAATACATGGCTCGTCCATCGTCGAGCAGCAAGCAACGTGATCCGATGGACCCTGTTCGCGCGTCCCCCATTCCTTCCGAATGCCAATCTCCTCCACTCCCTCGAACACCGCACCACCGTACGTCTCATGAGGACGTGAGCACGGGACAGCTGTTACAGCCGCAATTTGTGCCAGCACAACATGGCGCGCCACACCAAACCTTCAGCGTGGATCTGGCCTTCCCACGCCTGCCTGGCACAGCCATCGAACCATCGCCGACCGCTAACACGTGGTTGGACGAAGGCGAGCAGAAGATGACGTTCGCGCAACTCATCTACATCGCACTCCAGAGCAAGGAAACGAAGGCAATGGGGCTGGGCGAACTCTACCACTGGTTTGAGCAAAACACCTGGAGAGCCAACAAAGGAGGCGAAGGATGGAAAAACAGCGTTCGCTCGAACCTGAGCGTGAACAAGGTACGCTAGCGAGTTGCGTCAGCGATGTGACGGTGTAGTTTTTCCCGCTAAGTCGTAATCTATGGTGCACAGGCCTTTCAACGAGTGGAACGAAAAGGCTCCCTCTGGCAGCTCGCTGAGGCAGGATTGACGGAATTCCAACCAACGCGTAAACCCCGAACGGATCGCCGGGCGAGTCGCAGGAAAAAGGCAGAGGGGTCATACAAATGGAAGATCAGCGTCGCATCACCTTCACCGTCTTGCGCGCCCACTTTGCAGGATCACTCGAAGGAAAATGTGTCCGGAGGTGGTTGCGACGACGATGGGTTTTGGTCATTTGACGACGGCTTCACGTCGCCCGAGAGCAGCCAGCCTGAAAGCGGAACCTCTATCGATTATCCAACGCCGGTGCCAATCGCTTCGACGCAAGATGGCTTGGAGCACATGCATGATCCGCTATGGGCTTGGAACCTGGATAGTGGGCGCTACGTCCACTGGCCCTACTGCAGCTGCCTCTGTGGCCGACAACAATTTTGTTGGACAGACGTGAATGACATGTTGCCATTATGCGCCCCGACAGCGTTTGCTCCCATGTCGACGAGCATGGGAGTGGGTTCTAGTCCGCCGTCGGAAACGTCCGTGCAATGGGAGATCTGACGGTTGAATCTGGTCTTGGCAAACTACACAGAAGTACATTATAGCAATGGGGCATGGACGGGCCACTGTCTCCAGACGGCGCAGACATAGAAACACAGACAGCGGATAAGATATGCGCTGTCATGCCAGAGAATGCATGCGCCAATTCGATCTTCCCGCTCTTGATGTGTGTTGGAACGCTGACTTGCGACGCCTGATGGACCTGCGTTTGACTTTGAATGAAGATTGGGACGCAAATGGCTTCAGAGCAATGGCGATTGGATCGCAGACAATTATAGATTCATCCAGGTCGTCGGGCCCAAGGTACATCCACCCAGCCCATTTTGGCTTCCGAGTTGCTTTCTGCACTGCCTATAAGACAGACACGCGCCTCGTCTGCCCGGTGTAGCTGTCCCTGATCCAGTGCGCAACATGACCCGTTGTAAACACACTGGCTGGCTGCGCGTGGCCACCAAAGATGCGTACGTCGTCGAAAGCTCCGGTCGTGCCCAGAGACTGCTGGACGGTCTGCCACGCCCGGATAGCCAATACCCGAGTATTCTCGTGCTGATTGGAAACACGACCAAGCGGGTTGCTCTGCAAAGACTCGGTGTGTACATCACCGCGCCCAACACGGCCCGGGGCCACGGCGAGATCCATCTTAACCTGGCTCCTGTCGGCGCGTCCGACGCAAGGCCGACGCTGATTGCCGATGCCGACATCCCGCCTCATAAGCGGCTCGGCAGGCCAAGAAAATCTACGCTTTGCCATGAAGTCGTAGCAAGGCCACTGTCGATCTCTCACGGTGGGAACATCACGTCCACGATGCCGTCCACGATGCCGTCCGCGATACCGCCCACGACGATAGAAGCTAGCGATCATGTCTATAATCGCATGCTTCTCCCGTTCGCTGATGCTGTGTGTTTCTTTGCCGACGATATCGGCGGCGTAGAAGTCGTCGCCCAGCGCCTTGCGTCGTGGCTGGACCTGAGGACGCCGTCCACATCGTCGGTGCGGCCCTGGTTAGTGGTCGTCGTGAACGGCGACGAAGAGGATTCCGCACGAAGTCGCCTGCTACAGTCAATCCGCAAAAGGACAAACGCCCACGTGTCCGAACGATTCCACGGCGTACGCGTCATCAGCCTGGCCGACAAGACACCTAAGTCTCTCCGACGCCGCCTTGATTCCCTGCGTTGGGACATACTCAGCAACGAGCTGTCCTACATGACGGAGACGAAACGGGTCGAGCGCGTGCTCGCCAGCTGCCTCTTCTCGGCCACCCACCTCGCCGGCCTTCTCCGCCACGCCACAGAGCACGTCGGCGGTGCCGCCGCGCCGCCCTTCGACTTCCTCGCCGTCTCCCGGCTCGACAACCCGGTGGCGGCGGATCTGCCGGCGCACCTCGCAGGGTTCCTCACGCACTGCGACTCCGTCGACGACCTGAAGAGATTCGCCGTGCCTGTCATCGCCTCCAGCTTCATACTGGACCAGTACCCTCCGGGCATGCACCGTACGTTCACGGGCATGTGTCACCTTTGGTCCTCACTGACGGCCCGCAGTCTTCGATCCGCGCGACGTCTTCCAGATGTTCTACAAGGACATGTGCCACAACGTGTGCGGCACCGCCGTCCTCGCGCACGAAGGGTCCACCGACTTCCTCCTGCCGTCTCAGTTCGCCAAAATGGTCGAGGCCCAGATGGTCCGTATGTTCCGGCAGCTGACGACGGGCCAAGCCTCGGCGTCGCTACACCGACAGCTTGTCGCCGTCTTCGCGGAGGACTGGGCCCAGCTTCGGTCCGACAGCACATGCTACCTTTGTCTGCGGCGCGCTCCGCAGGTCTTTCCCGCGTGCGGTCACGGTCACTGTCTAAACTGTGTCGAGGTGTTTGGCGTCGCAAGTGCGGCCGACCCGTGGCTCATCAAAGTCGCCGAGTGTATCCTCTGCGGACAAAACATTGACATGCAGATACGTGTGAAGCCGGACACGGCGTCGGTGCGGGTCTTGTGTATCGACGGCGGCGGGACGCGGGGCAAGTACCCCCTCAAGGTGTTGAAGCAGCTCGAAGACGACATCGGGCTGCCCGGCCATCCGGTACAGCAGAACTTTGACATCGTCTTCGGGACGAGCTCAGGTATGTCGCGGGATGCTGTCGTTGTTGCAGGTGCAGATGTGGGCGACTCCCCTGACTGATCGATCGCGACAGGTGCCATCAGCGCCGGCGCCCTCTGCATCAACGGGTGGACGGTGGATGAGTGCATCGCCCGCTTCGAGTCCCTTTCGAACCACGCGTTCACGCCTCGCCGGGTTCCGTCCGTTCCCATCATAGGCCCTCTCATACGACTGATGATGCGCATCCCCTTCTTTGCCACAATTGTGCGTGCCGCAGCCTTGCTTCTATTCGACAGCAGGTACCCGTCGCAACACATCGAGAAGGCTTTGCGAGATATGTTCGGCTCCGGGAGAAGCATCGCCGACTACTCGGCGGCCGACACGATGGGTGCCATGGTTGGCATGACAGTTGCTACCGTGCAAGACGCAAGCGCCTGCATCTTCACCAGCTACAACGGAGTGGGCCAGCGTGCCGGCGATCGCGGTAGCCTCCCCGCCTCCGTCCCTTTCTTCGTCCCCGTCTCCATCAAGGCCAATCGAAGCCCGCGAGCCGATGCTAACGGACTGTATAGATTATGAACTCTTGAAGACAACCGCCGATGGGGGTCGCGTGGCTTTGTGGGAGATGTTTGTGGTTTCCCGCGTGATTCTTTGTGAGGCCTGTGGCTTCCGGTGACTAGATGGCTAATCCGGTGTGCAGTGTCCGATGTGCAACCGCTGCTCCGTAGTCCGTGCCAGGCTTTTTTCTATTGACCCCCCCCCCCCCCCCCCTTTTCCCCCCATCTCGCTCTCTTTTCGCCATCCTACAATTGGATGGCGCAAACAATGCCTACAGCCGAGTGCTGCGAAACGCCGCTAACAATGCCATAGTTATTTCACGCCTTGGTCTATTGACGGCCTCGGCACCTTCCAGGACGGCGGCTTAGTGGCCAACAACCCGTCCTCGATCGCGCTGCAAGAGGTGGCCTCCCTTTTCCCTGAAGCGCCACACCCAAGCCTTCTGGCCTCGATGGGCACTGGCTCCTCATCGAGCTCGTCCGGCGGCGGGTGGTGGGACTGCTTCCTCTTCCGCCTGGCGCGGGCGTTCCGGAACCGCGACAAGAACGCCTGGCAGCAGGTCGTCGCACAGAAGAAGGTGGGTCGATCCGGTGAGTTCTTCCGCTTCGATGTCGAGTTCGACGGCTCCGAGCCGCCATTGGACAGCCTGTCCAGCTTCGACGACGAAGAAGACGATGGGTGCACCTTTGAAGGCCTCCCCGCCCTGAGACGTCTGGTGTTGTGCGTGAGGGCAGAGCTGTTCGTCTTTGAGCTGCGTGCTTCGCGGCCGTACCTGTTCTCCGATGGGGGGTACGACTGCCGCGGGCAGATATGTTGCCGGCTGCGCGCTCGCTCCGAGAGCCTGACGGCGTTGATGCGGCAGCTCGCGAGCGGCAAGGCGTATTTTCGCGTCGACGGCCATAAAGTAGCTTGTGATTTTGCGTCATACCCGGCAGCCTTCCCAGATGGTCATTTCCGTCTGGACGTGAAGTTTCGCGTGGCCAGTCTGCAGGAGTCGTTCGCCGTTCGCCTATGGGAGACCGCCGACGAGGGTCGCGACATCAGCGGCTCGCCGTTTACCGTGCAGCGGCTGGTGCGGGGCCAAAAGCTCGAGCAGTGCTTCGGCACCTCTGATCATCGTAAGAAACGGCGACGGGACGACGACGACGACGAAGAAGACGAGGGTGCAAGCCGTAAGCGGCCGAGATTGAAGCGGTAGGGTGTGCGTTTGGTAGACAAGGAAAGGACGTATGACGGTTCCTCTGAATTGGTATGCGTAGCGTAGCTAAGAAGAATGATTTTTGGGCTGAGGCTTATCTTAAAACGCAGCATCACTGCAGGCGGATCCATGCCGCTGCGCTTCGCCTGTGCAGTGCGAACATGGTACTCTGTCACACTATTTTGTTCAACATGCTCTTTCCTGATATTGGCTGGCACGTTGATCCTTTGCTCAGCCATTCAAGCAATGTAGCCATTGACTTTGGGCCAATTACATGAATGCCCTATGAGTAATCGTGCGCCCAGAAACAGCGTGAATTGGAGTGTTTCTCAGACTGGCCTAAATTGCTGCAAGGGAGACTTGATCCCGCCTGCCCCGATTGGTCCGGGAATGGATGGGCAACGTGGTCCGAGCTTCTCTAACCTCCCGTCGAATACACCAGCCGTCGAGTGGCGCACCCATTGCGGCCTCATATCAGCATGCATCACAGACCACAGACCACAGACACCCAGTCGATGGACATGGTATCGGGAACGAGGACGACGGCGTTGAGTTCGAATGAGAACCTCGATGATGTGATACGTCTAGGCTCGAGGTCTAGTACGTGGAGCACATCAGCATCTACCACAAACGCATTTCCAAGAGCCGCGGCATCCGCAACGACGAGGACATCACCACTGGGCCACGACTCTGACGACGACGTGATCTTCTTATATTCAAGGCCAGGTACGTGTTGTGTACGCATAGCGAACAGGCGCTGACAAGTTCACAGTCCCGAAAGCAGCAGTTCGGCCCGACCAGCACCAACGTCCCCGACTACAGCCGAACGACAAAAAGCAATCCTTACGAAAATTGCCCAAAAAGAACAAAGCGAAACGAAAACCATCACAAAGAGTACCGAATGGCAGAAGGAATGCGCGTCTAGAGTACGCAGAAGTCGGCTGGCTAGCATCTTCGGGCGCCCAGCGGCAAGCTGTGTACGGATGCCTCAGTAGAAGCGGGCAGCTGCGTTACTGGTCCTGCTCGGTACAGGACGACGGTGGCCCCATCACACACAGGGAGGTAATTTTCTGTCCGGAGCTCCAAGGCCTGAGTCCGGACCAGATACGCAAGAAATTGTCAAGGAAAATGCACAGGGCGGCGAGAAGAAACGTCCGAGACGAGAGCTGAGGTGCAGTCGTTCGCAAATCAATCAATCTTGCAACGCTTCCAGATCTCTCGCCGGCCAAGAATTTGGCGTCCATCTTCGCCGGGGCAGCCGTACTCTTCAGCATATAGTACGTACACGAGATCGAGCATCGTTGCTATCGTCTCGGTCACAGCAGCGAGGGGTACGTCTGCCTCACCACACAGTCGCTCGTCAATTTTCTCCTCGGCTGGCAAGTCGGGTGACAGCCTTGACAAACCCTTGTGTTTTGGCCCATCTGCGCCGTAGCGTTATATGCGTCTTTGGCCTTGGCTTGTCCAGCCCTCTTGGCAATTTCACCTATCGCTAAGATCGGCGAACCGGGCTGACAGAAAAAGACGGGGTTTCTCCGAAGTAGTGCTCACTCGTGACGTCGGGTCTGTAGCTGCTGTATCCCGTGGGAATATTGAATGAACTCTATCCGCGGTAGGTTAGAAACTCGACACATAGCCTTCGCGCGGCGACGTGGACGGTTCACTCGAGCTTCTGTGTCTACGTGAGAAAGATCTGCCGGCTGCACACCTGCGATGAGCTGGTGGTGAGGGTCGAGTGTACCGAAGCCTCCATGTTCAAGTACTCCGTTAACACCAGCCGAGCGCGTGCCGTGCACGACACACTTACAAGTTGGAGGCCGTGTGCCACAAGAAAGTCAGCCAGACACCGACCACGTGATGCGCATCAGGGCATATATCCACAAGGGAAATTTAGCAACAAACAAGCCCAATTTACCCCGTTTCTTCCAGTCACTGGCATAGAGTGCACCTTGTCAGGGTTCGTTCGAACGATGGAGCATGGAAAGACCAGCTCGAGATATTCCACAACCGTTGGCCAGGAAGTTGTAACGGCAAATGGTTTGCGCGTGCGATGTCACGACCAGAACATCCATCCGCCATATGGCCGTGCCGGGACAAGATTGGTTTTAAGTACCATGTCTTATTAGAGGATTCAAGAAGCCACTGGACGCATCGGTGCAGGATTCACTCAGATGGCCAGTAGAGTTCAAGTGGAAGTCTCCTATCATTTCACGTTGATACATGGAGCACACCACTGTCCGATTGGAATATCGGGCGCGGCTTCTGGAAATGGGCAATACCGTGCAGCTACGCCATCCGACGAAAGTTGAGCTTCGTTGGGGGTTCGCTGCGGGATCTGCCGCGGGAGGCGGCAACAGGCTTACCAGCACTTCTACGGTAGCATGCTGTCATTGAATGCAGATCGTACAGTACAGTATACGATTGCGTTGATGATCAACGACAACACAACTTCGACGGGCTATACGGGAGAGACGCAAGGCATCGTCCTGGCCCTCGAGACCGCTTAGATAGAGGAACAGAGTGGGGGCTATGGGAGCAAAGCCTTCTTTCAACATGTGCCGCAAAACGACGCCGTCGACCGCGGGTAGCGATCATCGAAGTACTTTCCCGACGAGATAATAATAGACAACCCAGCCTGGCTGCCAAGCTAGAGAACAAGAAAGATACAGTAACACATGCTGCCTGCGCACCAAATCCCAGAAGACGGGCCCGTCATGACTCGCAATACTGTACCCCCAACACCATTCTGGCACGAGGGTTCATGTACGAGGCTTCGTGTACAAGGATTCGTGTCTGGACCTGCTACACACTCGCGGTGGCGGGCCAGAACCGACTGAGGGAAGAGTGCCAATAAGGGAAATGTAAGTTGACCAGCTGGTTAAGCCTGCGGCTCAGCCCAAATATGCTTTCTACTTGGAACTGCACTGAGCAACAAAAGCAGCCAACAGCCGCAACGGATTGCCACGCCGCTTGGCTCCAGTTTTGCATTTTAGGGCGCACCACCCAACCGTGCAATGCGAGCACGATATAGCTGCGACCAAAATCAGTTTCTAGCTCGCAACGTCTGGGTTTGCTTCACAGCTCTGTTAGGTCCACCCTCCAAGAATAACGCCCGCCCGACCTCAAGAGGCTCGTACCGACTGCCACATTTGCAATCCCTGGCCGAACCATTTCTGCCGCTCAAAGACATTTCCAGAGGCATTTCAAAGCCACTTGTATGTCCGTCAAGCTACAAAACGTGGCGTAAACGGCCGGTTCCCACCAGCACCACGAGGGAAGAAGGGATGAACTGGCGTGCTGTGCTGTATGGCCTTTGGTAACATTGCACTACCCTCAGCCCCTTTCAACGCCCCGATGGCTAGCTGTGCCAATCTGGCTAGTGTCAGATACGTGGCAAATCTGGATTTTACTGTGACTGCGCGAGTGTCTCGATGCAAGCTTGATGCAACACTCACAAGCCACTATCTGACTGACGACACGCACCCTCAGTCGTCTACAGCAGAGGCTTCTTACTGTTGTTGGCGCTATAGGGCTGCACATATGCGAGAGTAGCCTCAATGGGGCTTTTCACACATCACACGAGAATCTGTAGCAGTGGTCATCACGACGAGACGGTATCATTGTGGATGGAAACTGAACATGGGAGCTCCGAGGGCACAACCGTATATTGAAGACAGCGAACGTTGTCCTGTTTCTAATTACAAGAACGATCCACAAGCTGCCAGAGCCTGACTAATTAATTACCCAACAGCCAGCGGGTGACATCCGCCGTCCCAGGCACTCACGCGCTGTCACACGCTGTCATACGCTGTCACGTCTCTGCACTGGCTCTATCACTGAAAAGGATAGGTTCCCAGGCGGCACCACGAGGAGGTTGCAGAGTCCGAATTTCGCCGCCCACATCGCTCGAGGAAAAGCATCTCGGCGGCATCGTTGGAATGATCATCAACGGAAAACAAAGGAAATGCAGAAGCCGTTGCCCGGCCTCGTCGAGAATGTTCATTCGACGGAAAATGCAGAAGCCGTTGCTCGGCCTCGTCGAGAATGTTCGTTCGACGGAAAACAAGGAAATGCAGAAACCGTTGCTCGGCCTCGTCGAGAATGATCATCAACGGAAAACAAAGGAAATGCAGAAGCCGTTGCCCGGCCTCGTCGAGAATGTCCATTCGACGGAAAACAAGGAAATGCAGAAACCGTTGCTCGGCCTCGTCGAGAATGTCCATTCGACGGAAAATGCAGAAGCCGTTGCTCGGCCTCGTCGAGAATGTCCATTCGACGGAAAACAAGAAAATGCAGAAACCGTTGCTCGGCCTCGTCGAGAATGTCCATTCGACGGAAAACAAGAAAATGCAGAAACCGTTGCCCGGCCTCGTTGGAAATTCATCAACGGCACCGCTATATGGCAGCGTCAACGCAGGGTCAACGGCATCTCAGCGATGGGGCGGGGCTGGAAGCCCAGCCCACCAAGAAAACTCCCGAATCCAAGTGAGAACAGACCTCCCTACTTATACTTTCATCAACCTCCTTTCCTCTGCTCAGAGTCAGCAGCATCAGAAGAGTCAAGCCAGCTCGTTGTGCAATGACATCAGAGTCCCACTGTACGCCTTTGGAAAACAAACATTCTTGCATCTCGAACAATCGCTGGGTGAGCGTTGTGGCGGGGGTTTGAGGGCAAACATCAAACTTGCAGATTCCAGATGAGCAAACGGCCGCGGTGGACTTTTGGCAGGCTCGATCTAGACCAGGTCTGGATTGGACGACGAAACTGTGGAGCGACCGGGGTGCTGGATCTAGACTGTCAGATGGAGAGCAAAGGCAAGAAGTTGACGAAGAATGCAGGAGACAGAAGAGGCTCAGCAGGCGGGTCCCGGCCCGGGGTGTAGGGCGTGTGCGAGGGACCTGTGCTTTTCCTGGGTGCGGCCCGATCTGGCGCCAGTGTCTGGCGGGACCATCCGGCGGCGCATCTTTTGATGTGACGCCCCCTCCCCCCCCCCCACCTTTCCAAGTGGATCCACCTTTATCTACGACCAGATGTGGCGCTGACATCTGGCGCTAGTACCCTGGAGCAGTAATGTTTCGTTCCCATCCACTTCTTTTTTGACGACCAACGCAACTATGATTGTACTGTAGCATTGAGAATTGTTACGCCGCTTTCTACCCTTTGAACAGGGGTTAACTCTGCACCGAGAAATGACGACCTTCCTAGTTACAGCCGAGGCCGACTCCCAAAGATTACGCTGTCTTTCTGACTCTCTGGCGCATCGAAATCTGACTGCTCGCGGTGACAAGGTATCGTAAGCAAAGAGCATACTTACGCCACGAGAGATAGCCACGACTGTTGCTTCTCGAGGGAATTGTCTTCCAGTTCATCATTCAACATGCATGAGTGTATGGTTGTTTCGTCTTCTCCTTCGCCGACAACATTGCAGGTCCCACACCTGTCGTAGTTGCAACGTCGATCGGGCGTTTTGATGGCAACCTTTCGTCCTAGGTGCATACTTTGGGCATCTACAGTTTGGCCTGTGGATGCTGAATGAGAAAAGCAGTACTATATATACAGTACGTATTCGCAGCCAGTGAATTTTACAATAGAACAGTCAAACGCCAGTATGAGTCATGGATGGAGCGAAAGACCGTGGCAAAAATTTATTTCTGCGTTCCGACTTGATCAGGTCGGCCGAGTCACACGATTCTGCTCCTGTTCCTAGGATTGAAAGAGATAGGCCTGTGACACAAAAGCTCCGGCGCAGTACCCGAACCACTGACCAGCTTTGTCATTCTGTGCATCTCCTGACTGTCTATATTCAAGTCCCAAGCTACATCCCCTAAAAGTCTACTCTCCGCCGCATTGATATCATAGTCTGTGAAATGAAATGAGCATGCTTCGGCCGCGAGGCCGGCCCAGAACGACGTTTTGTATGTGACATCTTCCAAGTATTTCCGAGCAAGGATAATCGCCGCCAAGACGCGCGAATGCCGATGAGCCTCCGTCATGAGAGACTTTTCTGGTCGCCAAAGACCCCGCTCTAGGTAAATCAGACTGCCACAGAGTACTGCTCCACTGATATCAGCACATAACAGCAAGTGGCGTAGGAAAATTGCCAAATCTGAGGGGAAATTCCATATGTCGCTGTTGATGGGTAAGACTCTCGTGAGCACATGCTCAATCAGCCCGGCAGCAAGTCGCGGAGAGGGAGGGCGAGTACAGAACAGTTTGAATCGGTCCGCGTCTGGTGTTATGTTGGCCCGTTGGTCGAAAGTAGCTGGCTGGCTATGAGCGACGACGGTTTGAACAGGCGATGGTAGCCGGCGTTGAGAACAATGACGCGAAGAGCGATGCATTTGCATTTTTAGCCAGCACAGCAACCGGCGGGTGTTCGAGAGTGAACCAAGCCCCTCGAGATCTACGAGTTTGGCGACTGACCCTACTTAATGCAGGCGGTCAAGGAGCTGAAAGTAGACGCCTCCGAGGTACTTAAACAGATCATGACCAGATCTGAAGGATGCTGCAGCCAAGATGGAACCTCGCCGCACATCAAGCGTATACTCCGACACCTTCGAGCTTGATGACCTGCTTTTAAGGCTTACAAAGCAGGCTGAAGAGCAGCAGGACATGGTCATCGACATCTTGCGGCAGGAGGCTATGGCACTCTATCGCGAGCTCAGGGCGATGTGGCAGCTACGGGAAGTCATTGTCGGCTTCGTACGTGAGCTTGTGGATCTGATCGATCAGCTGGAAGAGCTGCTCAGAAAATCTCGGTCGTACATGGAGCAGAGAAGAGCGGACTACCTGGCCAATTGTACCTCATTCTAGGCTGCCAAGGCAAGGCGTTTCAACGGTCTGATCTGTATCTACCCTGCCAGAATGCTTCAGTCAGTTTCGGATATAAGAATGCACAATTCTATCAGCCTCGAGAAGACCGAAGTAGCCGGTGACGAGAGAAGCCCTGGTGCAAGGGGCCAGAGCCTCTTCGAGAACCTGGAATTCTTCGCTCACGTTTCTGAAGTACGTGAACTCCGGCGTGTTGTTTTTTGGGCTGCTTTCGGCTCCTGCTCAGGTTTTCTATCATTCGTCTGGACGGTGTTATGGTTTGTTCCTTCATCCTCTCAGGTAATCGTACGTTGTAGTTGGTGACCATGAAGGACGGCGACTACTTCCCTGCCAAGCACGACAATAACGAGCAGTTCAAGAACTATGCCGTGTCTAGATATGATCAGATGGTGTTGGAGAACAACAAGGAGATAGACTGGTGGTGGTCTCTTCTGGCAAAGATCTTCTCGTGGCTCTTGCTGGCGGGCTACATCGTGTTCTCCTCTACGTTCGCGTCACATTGGCCGCCTTTGGCTGGATTTTGCCAGTTCCTTCACTGACGAAGCGGCAGTCCTACGCTGGCAAACTCGCTGATTGGATTTCTGTCCACCATTTTGAACCTTTACACGGTTCACGGAGGCCAATGGTCGGCGACGTCGATAGCTATAACATCAGTGACAGGCGTGGCTTCTCGTCTCATGCGCTTTGTGCGGAGTGTACCAGTATTTGTTGGATGGCCTGCGCCATATGCCGGAGTGATCTGACGTCTTGTATGTATCTCCCTCAGAACACACAGGAGATCCAGGGGCCCACCCGAAAAAGCAAAACATGCATTGGGTAGTTAAAGCTAGATACATAGTGTAGGCCAGCTAGCAACTCACTTGAATTGTGCACTATCTCACATGCGCACGGAATAGCTGAATGCTCATTACCCTTCATCGCGATGGATTTCTGCCCTGAACATGGGTCGAATGGGGAGCTTGCGCTGTAGCTGCCTCAACCCAAGCAGGCATGGCCCTGATGAATTTGGCCGGTACATTAGCTGCATACGCAGAAGAATGCTTCGGCATGCTTGCTCAGGCGTAAATGCCGCCGAAGCAAAGCTGCCTGCGCAGGATTGCGCTCAAGCAGAGCCGCCCACGCATGAACACGCCCAAGCAGAGTCGCCCACGCATGAACATGCTCAAGCAGAGCCGCTTGCGCAGAAATGCGCTCAAGCGCAGAAAGGCATGCGCGGATTTCTGCGCAAGCAAAGACGCACACGCGGGAATCTTCTTGAGCAGGTTCTACGAGTGACCTGTATGGAGAGACCCATGTCCGAAGCGCTGCCGCCAGGGTTCGTCACCACTGCGTCTCGAAACAGCGTTCGCTGTTCAGCGGCAGTTGTATTTCACATCCGCCCACTGTCCTCAATCAACGCAGCGGTCAGGAAATGGGCCCAGCGAGAGACACGCAATGTATAGCTTTCTGCTATGTTCTTTCCTGCCACCCGAGATATTCATAGTCTTGCCGAGTCCATGTCATGACGAGAGAAACCAATCCTTTCAACTTTTCCTTCCGCCACGAACGTAGGAAAGGATGCTAGATACACGTCAGCGACTGGCTTGGTGTGGCATCGTGTTAGGCTAACCTCGCTCAATTCGGCCGCAGATGATGCGGTTGTTGTCGCTGAGAGGAAGCTTACAACTTCCGGGTCCCACTGCTCCGGGTCGTCTAGCCCCAGGTTGGCGCCCTCCTTCACATATCCTTGCATGAGTTCCATCATCGTGTAGCCTAGGTCGACCAAGTCTTTCCTACGGCTGAGCGGTCGACAATCTTCCTGGCCGCCTAGATGCCCCTGATTAGCGCCAGATTCGCCAACGGACTAGAGACTAGGCATTACTCAGCTTCACCCTTCCGCTAGGATGGAGTAAAACACACGAGCAGCTGAGACGGTCGTGCTGCAGTCCCATTTTCTCGAGGTGAACCAGCGCCTCGACTACCTGTCTACCTGTGAGAAAACGTGAATTGTCATGTTTTCATGGGAAGGATTGCACAACCTGCCCTATGATTGCTGCCAGACGTTGGCGATTGAGATACGGATTCCCAACGGCCTCTTGCAGCGACCGTGGCATATGTTCGTAGACGACGTGATGATTCGCCTTGTTGCTATAAATTTCATGGACCGTGACGATGTTCGGGTGCTGAATCGACTGGAGCATCCTCGTTTGCTGTGTAGATAACTCTGGAAAGTGGCGAATGTCTACGACGTCGCCAGATATCCCTCTCTTCTCGGCAACAAGAACAATGTCGTCGTCTCCGAGCAATTGTCGGTACATTTTCTCGTAGGCAGCCCAAGGCGATGCCGCTTTGATCAGAATAGTGGCTGCCCCAGAGCTTCCATCTTGTCTGGCTTTGACGATCCTGAGAAGCTCCATTTGGCGAATAGTTTCGAGATTAACGTCGGGGGCTCTGTTGAAAAGAAGAGGAAAGGGGAAAACGGGAAACACATAGTTACGTGGGAAGAAAAGAGCAACAGAGACAAAAGAAGAAAAGTGACATCGGATTTGCACTAGAGTCGATGAGCGTCGTTTCCAGCTCCTTCAAGGGTAATCTGCCAGAAGCCGAGTTTGGAGTTCGCAACACGAATCAACTAACCACCTGAAAGTGTGGGAGTCATCTCGCTCTACTCCCCATCGGTTTCCCGTAGATTCAACCACTTGGCTCCCGAACCCACTTCGTACGCACAGAGAGGCCGCAATGGTAGAAGGCAGTTTCACCCAAGTCAATCGGCGACTTGAAGACGAGCGTCGCGCCAAGTTCTGCGGTACTGCCAGCATCAGTATATCGTCATTGAAGCCAACGCCGAGGACGGCGGACCGCGTTCGTCGGCCCGTTTCCGAACCGCTCAAGAGGTTATACCGAGAGGAGCATGGGTGCCGACAAGAAGATCATCGACACCATGCAAAGGCGACAATCAGTCAATTCGACCTGGAAGCCGCCCTGATGAACGCAGGGATCACGGCCTCTCGGCTCCAGAGCGATGCGTTGCCCTACCCAGTTCTCGGGCTACCGCCTGGTGTACAGCTCGAATGCCTCCAGGGGTCAGATCGTATCATGGCAGCCGACGACGTGTTCGACGGGGCGGACAAGCATTGGACAGTCGACCTGTATCTAGACGGTGCGTTCGCAAGGCAGACACCGCGGTGGAGCCCGCTGACGTTACAGAGATCTGAGCGACGATCTGCGGACGCTTTTTGTCGAAGAGTATGAGTACCAAAAGGAACCCGACGATGGCGAGTTCTACTGCAAGATTCGGGGATACCAGGGATATCACGTCGACGGAAACCCTTTCTTTGAGAGGATCTGGCT